TTTTTACAAATTTTGAAAGTTTTCAAGTTGATATTTTTTTTTTTAAGATTTATTTATTTGTACATACAGAACTGGGGTATAGGCCAGAGGCTCAGGGGCGGTGAGAGGCTTCACCAGAGACAGAGTGGGCAGCAGAACAGGCAGATCGACGAAGTACACTGCTGAAGGGAGCAGCGGGCGGGTCAGGAGAGGTCTGCCACGCCATGTGGTCACCTCCGGGGGCAGGTGGGGATCGAACTCATGCGGAAGTGGCTTTAGCTTCTCAGTGCAGTGCTTTAACCCGCTGCGCCACCAGGGAGGGCCCTCTTCAGTAGTCTTTTATCTTGTTTCCTTACTCCTATACTTAACCCTGATTAGTCTTCACACTTTTACCATAGTACTTAGGTGTTCTAAACTCCATTGCCTTCCTATTACTTTCAGGATAAAGTCTAACCATCTCAACCTGGCATAAGAGGCCCTTCATGACCTGGCACCCCCTCTTTATTCTCACCTGCTAACTTTTTTCTCCCTAACACTCTCACATCCTAAATCTCATGTATTCAAGTTATTTGTCCTTCAGAAGGACATTTGTTTGCCTCTAGGCCTCTGTACATGCTACCTTTACTTCCTGGAATGACTAAACTCTCCTTCGTTCACAAATGCTACAAGATTTGATTCAAGTGTTCCCTTTTCTGCAAACATCTCTGACTTCCAGCCCTAACTCAGAACTTCTCTGAGGACTGACTTCCTGGTTGTCCACAGATCCCCAGAGTAGTCCTAATGATGGTGCCTTGTCTCGTCTCCTTTTGTTTTCCCTCTCCAACTTACAAGCACATGGAGTTGGAGTACAGCAACTCTGACATAGGGATCTCTGTCTTTCTGTTGCTTTCCTTAGTGCAGTAAATGCAGTGGTTCTCAGGGTTGTCACTAGACCAGCAAGTCAGCCATACTGTGAGCTTGTTAGAAAAGCAGATTCCTGGGCGCCACAATGCAGATTCCTGGGCTGTACCCAGACTTACTGAGTCAGAAACTCAGGAGGTAAGGCCCAACAATATTTGTTTTAGCCAACTCCCCAGGTAAGTCTGATACATTTTTGAGAACCATTGCCCTGATGAAATGAATAAAGGACAGCATGCACTAAGGAGGAGTAAGCTCTGGTCTCATAAATGAGGCAGAACCTGTCAACCTGTGTTAGTCCTTAGAAAAAGGGAATGGCACTGCTCTAGTGATAGTTGCAAGAACCTAAAATTATGAACATAATGTAGTTAAGACTCAGTATATTTGATATTATGAATTTGACCTCAAAATCTGTTTTGATCTTATTGACTCCAACATTTAAAATTAAACTAAAAGGAAGACACATACTTATTATTTAAAAAATTAGCTCATCACCACCAGAGATCAACACATTATCAATGATTATTTCTAAATGATACCATGGTTTTTATTCTTATGTTTAAAATTATCTATGAATTATTCAGAAACCTTTGCTTAAGTCATTTGAAACATTAAAAAATTCAGTTGAGATGAACTTATTGCTTAATCTTATAGCACTATTAAAATATAAAGATTGTTACTCAGAAGATCTATTATGTATTTTTTTAAAAAGCTTAACATGAAAATGAAAACAAATTTTAAATTCTCAGAAAGCTCCTGGATCTCCTGGCATCAGTCCATGCATCCACAAAATCTTTATAAATACTAATTTACATGATATTTCTAAAGTCCATGAAACATATCATGTGGTGTTTAAATTCACAACGTAAAAAACCCTTACCAAAATATAAAGTAGCTAGCATAGTTTTAAACTTTTTAAAGGCTTGGATCAAGTGTAAATCACATGATTTTTTGCTGTAAATAATTTTTTAAGATGTGTTGTATTTTTGTCATCTATGTGCCTTCTCCGCACATTCTTGCGCAACTTTCTACCCTAAACTCCTATCCCTCACTCTTACTACATATGTCTTGACTTCATGGTTTGGGTGGGGCTGTACTTGTAATTTGCTGTCTGGCTCAGTGTAGATCTGTCTTCCATTAGTGGCCAGTGGGTGGACACATGACTCCGTGAGGGCCACTTAAGAGTCCTCACCTTCACACTGAAAGCCACCAGTTATTTCTTGGTTATTAAAGTGGGGTGACAGGATCGTAAATATTCCTGACAAAATAGACCCAGAAGAAGCCATTTGAAATAAGTTAAAATAAGATTTAACAAGAGAAAAGACTGGAAGAAAGAGTATTGCAGGTTAAGTTATATAGTTAGCTGTATAGTTACATACTTTTCTCCTGTTAAATAACCTTTTTGTTTAAAGCTAGTTCTGATTGGGTTTTTCACTCACCACTAAAAGCATCCTTAAATAATGAGCATGTTTAAATTTAAAAGATTTGTCCTTTTTAACAGGTGAAGATGGAGCTGGAAAAACAAGCTTAATAAGAAAAATTCAGGGAATAGAGGAGTATAAGAAAGGAAGAGGATTGGAATATTTGTATTTAAATGTTCATGATGAAGACAGGGATGGTGAGTGTCCATTCATTTCAACAAATTTTCTGAAATGTACTGCTGCTATTATCAGCCTTTGACTTTTCTTAGTGTCTTTTTGTTTGTTTGTTTTTTAAAGTAGGGGTTCTACCATACCATTCAGTAAGTAGTTCTGTCTAGGCATACTTTTAACATTTTAGGGTATTCTGATTTGCAGACTTTAACTTTTGTGCTGTCTTTGAAGAATCTGTTTCAGTTCATTTTCCCTCAGATAATAGGCTAGTAGTATCCTATGATTATTTTGCTGACTCCTATTTTACCTCAGGTTGGGGATTGAAATGTCGTCTACCTTCTAGTATTTCTCATTTGATCAGCCATTTTTTTCCTTTTGTAGATTACTTGTTTCTCATTTTCATATAATAATATCTTGATATATGCACGTTTCTATCTGATGATGTAAGAGTAGAATCAAGCTATTAAGTCTGTTGTTGAAATTTAAAAAAAAACTGGTAGATGCAACCTAAATACTTCAGTATTATCAAAGCCAAGAGATAGCTCCTATGGAGATGGTCTGAAATACCACAGTGTTAGTGGACGGTAAAATAACTTAATCCTGTTGTCTCGGTAAACCTTCTTTTTTCTGTTGTAGATCAAACAAGATGTAATGTGTGGATCCTAGATGGAGACCTGTATCACAAAGGCCTCCTTAAATTTTCACTGGATGCCATTTCTCTGAAGGACACTCTGGTTATGCTGGTTGTTGACATGTCAAAGCCCTGGACTGCTTTGGATTCTTTACAGAAATGGGCAAGTGTTGTTAGAGAACATATTGACAAATTGAAAATCCCTCCTGAAGAAATGAAGGAAATGGAACAAAAGTGTGAGTAATCTAGAAATATTAGTATAGACTTCAGAGACAAAATTTCTTAGCTATCAATTGTTAGGAATTTCTGACTGTGAATAAGGATTACAGAAATAGTGAGGCCCTCCCTGGTGGTGCAGTGGGTTAGGATGCAACATTGCAAGCTGGCTGCTCCTGCTTCAGTGCAAGTTCGATCCCCAGCCCTGGATGTGACCCACATGGTGCAGCAGACCTCTCCTGACCCACTCGCTATTCCCCTCAGCAGTGTACTTTGTCCATCTGCCTGTTCTGTTCCCACTCTGTCTCTGGTGAAGCCTCTCACCACCCCTGCAACTCTGGCTTGTACCCTAGTTCTGTATGAATAAATAAATAAATCTTTAAAAATAAAGAAAGAAGGAAATAGTGAAATTCTACTTGAATGCTGTGCTAAGTTTTAAAAGTTTTAAATTGGAAGCATTTGGAATGTGACAGATTCTTTATTAGAGGTGCTTTTTCTCCTTTGCCAAAAGACTGTATGTGTTCCTATGGAAAGTAATTTTTCAGGACAAAAAAAATTTGAATCTTTATTCAGCTGCTCATTTTCAGCAGTTATATTTATGTATAAGTAGAGTAATCTTATTAACCTCATCAAAATCAATTATGTCCAAATAGATGTTGATAATACAAATGTAAAGATGTTAAGCTGATCTGATAATTTTTTATATGCTTATGTAAATTGGAAATTTTCATGGAGATTATGAAGACTATATGGGAAATTTTTAACAGGTTGTACGCCAGTTGCCACATTCTTGATTTGCTAGTGTTATACTTTGCTTAAGCAAATACAGAAATGTAATGCTGTTTTTCTTTATTATGGTTGGCTGATAACTTTCAGGGGGTAATTGGCAGCATCCTGGCATTTATATGGAGAAAAATAAGAAAATTTAAGAAAAAGTATGCCCTAAATCATTGAAAAAGTTGTTTAAGTGCTTTTCTCTGCACCTTTTTTTCACTTTTGGCTATTGTCTGTGGGCCTTCCTCTCACCCCCTCTAAATTTATACTAGAAAGGTGGTCTTCACTGTCTGGCAGCTTGCCAGAAATGCACATTCTCAGGTCTTACTCCAGACTACTGAATCAGAAACTGTGAGCATGCTAAAACTAGGGACTTTTGTTAGATTTCAGCCTCAAATCTGAAGGGTTTTAGCTGCCAAGCTGCTAAGGGTATCAGCATGCCCCTGTATTCCTGGAGGGACCACACTTAGTTGTTAGAGTCCCTCATCCTTGTTAGGACAGGTTTGTTGCAAATGAATCCTATTCCAGAGAGGGTCTAGCTCATAATTACTTTGCTTAAAAAATAATTAACATTTTCTAGTTTTATTAATAGTATGCATTCTTTGTATTTAAAAATTGAAAGTATATCTTAATGTTATTTTTCCCAATTCTTTTCTATTTTATTTGTAAGCTATAGTCCTTTTTTTATGTTACTATTTTCCTACAACATTCTTTGAAAATTACATTTTATAGACATGTATAGTATTCCCTCATGATATTTTAAATAATACTGTAGATAATTTGCTTCTAGATATGTTTGCTTTCAAACATGAAAAAGCACTCTCACATGTAAATACCTGTGTGTGCATCCCTGACTTTTTCCTGGAGTATCCTAGAAGATAGATTCCTGGGTCAGCATATACAGCAGCATTAAAGCTCTTCATACATTCCCTTTAACTTTTTTTTTTTAACATATCTGACATCTTGCAAATGAATTCTAAAAATGTATCAGTGTTGCTAATACCTCATTAATTTCTACCAAGGTTACAAGATTACACCTAGATAAAAAAAGTCCTAATTAAAAGGTTTAAAGAAAGGAAGCTAGGGCCTTCTTGTTGGTTCAGGGGTTAAAGTCTCAGTGCTATCAAGATATCACCAGCCACTGCAGCATGAATTCAGAATTAAAAAAAAAAAAAGAAGGAAGGAAGGGAGTTAGTATTAGAATGTCATCTAGAACTGTCTACTGTCTTTTACATAGAGGAACCCCTTTCTACATAAATGTATTTTTCCTGTTTTTCTCTCAGTGACCTTTTTCACCTCTCAGTGAATTAGTAAAGAAAGAGAGCAGAATTATATTGTGTCTTGCCCAGAGTAATTGCACAAAACTGAACTAGACCTATAGTGAAACCCATTTTGGAACAGTACATATCTATATTCTGCCTCCTGATAATTAGTGTGGTTCCAGAGATTTCTCAAGCCCTTTTTGTTTCTAAAAACAAAAATAGAAACTTTAGTAAAATATATATTTAGATCATCGCAAAAAATTCTACCTACTGAAATAATGCAGCTTCTAAACTATGTATTAATTTACTTACTTTGATTTCTAGTGATTCGAGATTTCCAAGAATATGTGGAACCAGGAGAAGATTTCCCAGCTTCTCCTCAAAGAAGAAATACAGTGTCGCAGGAAGACAAAGATGACAGTGTGGTTTTACCTTTGGGTGCAGATACACTCACACATAACTTGGGCATTCCAGTACTAGTAGTTTGCACAAAGGTTAGTTTGCTTCCTAGAGAGTCTACTACTAATACTAATAAGAATATGAACAACTGTTTTGTTTTCCAGGCTCTTTTTGGAGTTGACACACTAGTTTCCATAGATGAAAATGTTTAACAGGATATAATAGTTTAAAATATTGAATGATATTCACATGTTTTTGTGATATAAATCATGGTTTCTTTGAAAATGTTTGAAAAATGCTACTTGTGATTATGTTTCATTTTTCTAATTCAGTTAGACTTCATTGTTCTAAAAGTTTAGTAGAAATGATTATAGCTAAGATGATAAATTTAATAAAATATTTTTCCACATTTGAATCTAATATCCTAATTGCCTAATATTAGAAGATTATGTAGATAGAACAGACTTTTAAACACTTGCAGTACTCATTGCATATAGTTGATATGCAGTTATCAAAGGCTTTTTAGTTATCTAAGGTTCTGAAAGAATTATTGAAATTCTGTTAAAGTATATATAGTGAGAGAACTAAATTATGATAAAATCATACTTCGTTTAAAGATAATTTACAGTATTAAAAAATCATGTCCCCATTTGGAATGAAGAAGTTAAGGCATAAACTAGTTAAGAAAATGAGAACAATATAAATGCTTTTGATATTTTTTTGTAACATGTAAAATTGCACATGTAATTAATGGAAGGAACAGAATTTATACATCTCTGGAATGAAAATCATAAATTTTAAATCTACCTTAAGTTTTACTTTAAACACAAAAATTATCATTAACAAAAGAATAGGGATAGCATTTAAATGATTAAAGTGTTGTTTGCTTCTCCGATGGTGATTCTGCTTTGTTGTTCTTGTAAACCCCCACTAGAATCTTTTCATGTGTACTTTGTTTTTTATTTGTTCCTTCTGGCAAAGAACTGTTTATTGATAGATAATTCCCTGTTTTACACAACTTTCTTCATAAAAACTTATTTTTCCAAAGGAAAATGTTAAATTTATAAGTTGACCCTTGTAGACTAAAGGAACCTGGATGAGTATCAAGTGAGTCCATAAACTCTTAGTACAAGATCAGAAATGAAGGGAGTCTCCTGGATGTAAAGAATGTTTAAAGTAGACTAGATTTTGCATCTTAAAAAACTTTTATAAGATTGTCACGTTATTCTTTGTCCCTTTATTTACTAAAATTTCTCATTGGTGTTCTTACTATATTCAATATGACACAGAAATCAGAACTTTTTAAAGAAATAAAATTATTCATTAGTCTTAAAACTTCCATCTGAAAGTCTGGAGTCTTACTGCTAACTCTGTAAACACAATTAATTGATAATTCTTGATCCTGCTGTTCAGTCACTATTCAGAATGGTAGTTTTATAAGGTTCCCCCACCCAAAGTTGATCTGTGTGAGTCATTATATTTCATTGTTTATTAAGTACTAATACTGTATTGTTTTAAAATTTATTTTGATTCAACAGTGTGATACGATTAGTGTTTTGGAGAAAGAACATGACTACAGAGATGAACATTTTGATTTTATTCAGTCACATATCCGCAAGTTTTGTTTACAGTGTATCCTTTCAATGCATTGATAAGTGCAACACACCTTTTGTATTGTTTTTTTTTTTAAAGATTTATTTACTTTTGTATTTTTTTAAAGATGTATTTAGTTCTGTATACAGACCTGGGGTACAGGCCAGAGATGCAGGGGAGGTGAGAGGATTCATCAAAGAGAGTACGGAGCAGAACAGGCTGACTGAAATATACCATTGAGGGGAGCAGTGGGTAGGTCTGGAGAGGTCTGCCACGTCATGTGGGTCACCTCCCTGGCTGGGGATTGAACTTGTGCTTCAGTGGCTGTGATAGCTTCATAGAGCTGTGCTTTAACCCGCTGTCATACCAATACAACATTGGGCCTCTTTTGTATTTTGTTTTAAAATAAAAGAATTAAATTGATGGCCTTTAGAAGTTCAAAAATACTTTTCCTGCTGACTCTGGTTATAAATTTCATTTTAGCTCTCAAATCATTTATATCTTGGGGTTGGGAAGGTAAAACCAAGAACTGCTCCTTTATGTACTTTAAATATAGAAATAGTAGTGTCAGCATTATGAAATTTTTTTTCGACTTGATGAGATTTGCCTTCCTTTGTTACGTTAATTATGTAAAGATTATATTTACATTTAATCTTTTAGCATTTTATGCTTCTGAAATTTCTGATTACTGTATGACATATCTTTAGGAATTATTTGAAAGTAACATGCATGTTGATATAAATATTAAAGTGAAAATAGAGGATTTTAGGGTACCTGTTCATGGAATTTTTCTTTAATAGTATTATGTAGATGGTGCAGCACTTATTTACACTTCAGTAAAAGAGAACAAAAATATAGATTTGGTATATAAATACATCGTTCAAAAACTATATGGGTTTCCCTATAAAATTCCTGCTGTCGTTGTAGAAAAAGATGCAGTATTTATGTAAGTATACTCTTACTATATTATTTTATGATGAATATATTGTTGATGTTGTTCAGTAGACATTTTTGGTTTTGAGTTTATCTTCCCATGATGTGTATGTAGGAATCTGTTCTTAGATTTTTTAATTACAACCTTCCTTGTTCTATTTATCATTGCCTTTAGGTTGACCAGGTGGCTTCTCGAAAGGTCTTGCTTTTATAGCTAAACCATCAGTGCAGTGTGCTCATCAGTTCATCTATAATAAATAAGAACCCAATGTGTAGTATAGATATATTTTTGAAAAGCTATCTGAATAAAATTGGGAAGTAGTAATTATCCAGTCCCTTCCCCCCCCCAAAATCTAGAGTGTCTTTTTTTAGTGTCATTTTTTTAAATCAGAAGAAATTTGATAATCGTTTTAAGCAGAAATTAATAAGCCATAATTTGCATTTTATAGTAAAAAAAGCTGATTCATTTTCCATATTTGGTTGCATTTAACTTCATAAAAATATTCCCAGTAATATGATCATGCATTGAATGAATGACTGTATAAATGCTTCAGAATTTATTGTGTTTCATTCCAGTCCAGCAGGGTGGGATAATGATAAGAAAATAGGAATATTACATGAAAATTTTCAAACATTAAAAGCAGAAGATAATTTTGAAGACATTATAACTAAGCCACCAGTCCGAAAGGTAACGGTTTTATTAGTATGTCATCTCAGTATTAGGCTTTTAAGGGAGAGGATTGAGTGCATAATTTTGAGTTCATGGGCAAAAAGATGAGAAGTACTTTTCTATCAAAGGGTTTCTATATTCAAAATAAAGAGCTGTTTTTTCAACTATAAAATAGCTGTTTAATTACTGAATCATTCCAGCCTTTGACATATTTACATTAGGATATTTTAGTGCAGATCTCTTATTCTATTGCAAATCATAGATTGTCATGAGTGAATATGGCTCCTGACTGATTTTAATAGTTAAAGTGTGAACTTTCCAATCTAGAGCACGATCTGAGGTAGATCTTGCACTTTCGACATCGTCTTTAGTCCCCACCTGTACAGGAGCTTCCAATTTCCTGTTTTACCTTAGCTATAGAACATGTTATTCTCATGACCATTAAATCATGTCCTAGAAGGTGGTTTTCTTTCAAGTTAAGCAGTATATGACCTTCTACAGTTACATGTTATAGATGTTTCTGCAGTTTTGTAATTATTATTTGCATGTGGTACTTCTTATCTAACTTTTAGTTAGGACATGTTTCATGATTTAAAATATAATAAATAAATACATACTTAAGAGGCCAAACATTTACACTGAGAATTTGTCTTCTGTTTGTGGGTTACTGTAAATAAGAAAAGTAATGTCCAATTAAAAATCATTTGCCATGGTATTTGGTTTGGATTTGTAAAATACATACATCAAACAAAGAAACTAATGGTTTTGCCTCGTTCATTCTTTTACCAGTAGAATTGTGCTTTAAGTTGACTTTTATTCATTCACAAATATTTAGTGAGCTCCAAATCAGGTATTGTTTAGGCCTAGGTGTTAAATAGTGTGATGCAATAGTAAATCAATACAGGTGCTGATAAGAGCTAAGGAAATAAAGCAGGTTGAGGGGAGATGATAGGACTGAGGCTGCGAAGGGATATTGTTTCAAGAATGCTTAGGGAATGTCTCTAATGAGAGGGGAGAAGATTGAAGGCTGAGGGAACAGAAACTTACATATCCTGATACTGAAACTAGTGAGACACCAGGGTGGCTGGAAACGAATCCTGAGGAGGGGTGGGGTGAGAAGAGGGAGAAACACTGAGTTAAGATCTCTTGTGGGGCCTCACCAGTCAGGTCTGTAGTCAGAATTTTGTATTTCATTCTGAGTGGATTGGAAAGAATTGGAGGAAGAGTCTGAGCAGAGGAGTTTCGTGACCGACTGGATATTTTAAAAGAATAGTTCCTGGGTGGAAAACAGACTTGGAGCCAGCTTTGTATAGAAACAGTAGAAGCAGAAATTTGCAGGCGTTTGCAACTACTTTTTCCTAATTGATTAAAGAATCATTTTAGTTTTATTTCAGGGGAACCAGGGACAAGTTGCTTTTCACTCAACTGTTGATATTACCCTTTGAAATATATCACCTGAGATTTTATAAGCTGATAGTATTGTGCCTGTGGCCCTAGAGTTGTGAGGTCTAAAGTAGTAGCTGCTGATAACATAGGCTTTTAGATGTAAATTAAGTAAAAGCAAATCAATTAAACATTCAGTGACACTAGCCATTTCAAGAGCTTAGTACACACAGGTAGATAGTACTACTACACTGTACGCCCCAGAGGGAGAATGTTTATGTTACTGCAAGGAGTCTTTGGGGTGGAACTTGGGTAGGACAGCTCTCACCTGGTGATGTAAATGTAGCATAGATATTGTTCAGACCCTTGAATGGTTAAAAAAATTAACCTTGTCCAGAGAATAAGTTTTTAATGTTTTAGCATAATGTATTGGACTTGCTCATTTATGTTTTGCTCATTTCAGTTTGTACATGAAAAGGAAATTGTGGCAGAAGATGACCAAGTGTTTCTTATGAAGCTACAGGTATGACATTACATTGAATAGATTTAGTATGTTCTATTTTATGTAAATAAACTGTTTATGTGTGTATATGTATATATTCAAAAATATAAACATGCTATGAGTCTCTAATCTAGTATTTTGTATTTTTTTAGTCCCTTTTATCAAAACAACCACCAACGGCAGCTGGAAGGCCTGTGGTCAGTATTACAGATTTTGATAAAATGATTAGAATGTGCTGTTCTTACTGTTTTTCCTTCATCGTATATATGATTAAGAAATCTTATACCATGGGTCTCATATGGGTATCTTTGGTAAAACTTGAATTCAGAATTCTTCTGGAATTTGTGAAATTTTAAGATACACTCACTCCTTTTGTATAATATTTGAAATCATAAAATCCTGTTTTGTTGTGCATCAGAAACCAACTAAACCATTTTTTATGTGTGTTACTTTATAAATCCCACAGTCCTGTGAGATAGGTACTGTTATTAGCCCTGTTCTGCAGATGGGGAGATGGAGCCTTTTGAGAGGAATCAGTTTTGCCTAACATAGCTAGTAGGATACACGTCCGCAGTGGGCCTCATATTTGACACCCATCTTATACTCTTTTTTTAAATTGAAGTACCTTTGTTTCACATTCTTGTTAGTGTTTTGACAGTGTAGGATTTACCACTCAAGTGTGGTCACCATAGCATTTCAACCCTCAAAGCACCCGTAGTCTTCTAACATAGTCCACTGGTAAGCTTATCCTCTCAGCCAACTTCATAATTCCGCATGTTCTTTTTCCATTGAAGGGAAACTTTGTACCCTGAAATGTGGTGGACATCTGGTGTTTTCTAATAATGGGGTGGGCATATGATTTTTTTTTTTACTAATGGCTTGCAGTACTCTGTAGGGAATAGTTGCAAAGTCATTTTCTTTTCATAATATTTGTGAAAATTTCAGGGTTTTGTAATTATGCCTTTTCCCTTTTTATAGGATGCCTCACCAAGAGTCCCAGGAGGTTCCCCTCGAACACCAAACAGATCTGTGTCATCCAATGTTGCCAGCGTATCACCAATCCCTGCTGGGTCAAAAAAAATTGATCCAAACATGAAAGGTAATTTTCTCTCTCTCTCTTGGAAAAAGTAACAGAGTACATACTGTAATAGGAGAAATTTACCCTAGAATTTCCATCTTTTACGATAGCTATTTTCATTTTTATATAGTAGCTTCTTGTTTTTGTAGATACAATCTCATAATCAAAGTCTGAGCCATTTTAAGGTATAGTTTTGATTTATCATTACATTTCATGTTTACGAAAGTTTATCATATTTAATCATTTCTCCTGTGGTAGGTCATTGACGATGGTGACTTCTTTTTCTATGATAGGTTATCTGCAGTTAGTGTTAAAAATAACTATGCAAGGCTCATTGGTGGCTCAGGGGTTAGGTCTCAGCACTGTGAAGCTATCTTCAGCCTCTGTAGCAGGAGTTCAATCCCTGGCCAGGGAGCTACCCTTATGGTGCAACAGACCTTTCCTGTCTCACACACTGTTCTCCTCAGCAGTGTATTTCAGTCAGGCATCCTATTCTGCTCCCCACTCTGGTGAATCTTCATCACCCACACCTCTGGCCTGTGCCCTAGCTTTTAAATCAAATAAGTCTTTTTTTTTTTTTTTTTTAAGAGTTATTTATTTATGCATACAGAACTGGAGTACAGGCCAGAGGTACAGGGGTGGTAAGAGGATTCACCAGAGACAGAGTGGGGAGTAGAACAGACAGATCGACAAAGTACACTGCTGAGGGGAGTAGCGGGCGGGAAAGGAGAGGTCTGCCATGCCATGCGGTTCTCCTCCGGGGCCAGGGATTGAACTCATGCTGAAGTGGCTTTAGCTTCTTAGTGCTGTGCTTTAACCCGCTGCACTACCAGGGAAGGCGTAAATCTTTTTTAGAAATAATTATCTTTCATCGTTAAAGGTTACTCATTTTGTTTTATTCATGAATAAATTACAGAAGTTATCCCACCTCAAAAGATCAAACTAGACTTGAGTTTAAAACATGGCTCTTAAATTTTAAGTCTGTTTTTCATTTTTCCTGTGTGGGTAATACAGTAATTTATAGAAAAATTAATGTTTTGAGTGAAATTTTTGTTTTTTGTTTTATAGCTGGAGCGACAAGTGAAGGTGTCCTGGCAAATTTCTTTAATAGCTTGCTGAGTAAAAAGACCGGCTCTCCAGGAGGCCCGGGTGTTGGCAGTGGGAGCCCAGGAGCTGGCGCTGCGGGTGGAAGCAGTGGTTTACCACCATCTGCCAAAAAGTCAGGTATAGTTACTTGAAAATATATATATATATTTTTTAAGCTTTGTTGAGAGAAAATTTACATATCATGAAGTTCATGCACTTAAAAGCTTTTAGTATAGTATATTTACAGAGTTATGCAACCATCATCTAATTTAACTTTAAGATATTTGTCTCCCTTCCAAAAAACCTTGAACCTAACTTCTTTCCTCTCCCACAGTCCCTTAGTCTCAGGCAGCCGCTGACCTGCTTCTGTCTCTGGATTTACCTTTCTAGAGAGTTCATATAAACGGAATCATGCAATGTATGCCTTTTTAAAGGTTCATTCACATTGTAGCATCCCTCAGCATTTCATTTCCGTTTGTTGCTGAGTAACAGGCATTGTGTGGATATGCAGTATCTTGTCAGTTGATAGACATTTAGATTGTTTCATCTTTTTGGTTATTATGAACATTTGCTATGAATGTTTGTTTTCATGTAGACATCCATTTTCATTTCTCGTGGATACTTACTAACAAGAGGAATTGCTAAGGCATGTGCTAAACTGCATTTAAGATTGTGAAGAGTGCGGGTGTTTTCAGACTGCTGCACTGTTTTACATTCCCAACAACAGGGGATCAGGATCCCAGTTTCTTCACATTCTGTCCATCATTTTGATTAGAGCCACTCCTGTGGCTGTGAAGTGGTATCTTACTGTGGTTTTGATTTGGTATATCCCTGATAGTGGAGGCTTTTGAGAATCTTTTCATATGATTTTTGACTGCTTGTGTATCTCTTTGGAGAAATGTCTATCACATCTTTTGTCCATTCCTGAAATGGATTGTCTTTTTATTGTTGAGTTTGAAGTTTCTTTACATATCTGTTTTGTGTTGTCTTTTCACTCTCTTGATAGTGTCCTTCAAAACAGTTGTTTTAATTTTGATGAAGTCTACTTTTTCTTCCTTGCTTGTACAACTGCTTTTAAATAGACTTAAAATTATTGATGATCATATAACTTAGTATGTTATATAAAGTTACTGAAACTGCAGTTTTAAATAGGAATGATTGGTAAAAAAAAAAATACTTTGACTTATATCTAAATCTTGTTTCTTTTCCTTCAATCTAGGCCAGAAGCCTGTCCTATCAGATGTTCATGCAGAACTAGACAGAATTGCACGAAAACCAGTTACAGTTTCTCCTACCACACCTACGTCTCCTACGGAAGGAGAAGCTTCTTGAAGATACCAAATAAAGCCATTTATTCAGTTTTCTGGGATAATGTAAACTTGCCTCTGCTTTTTCCTTCAAAAGTGGATTAGGGAACTGGAGTGCTTTTTCAGATGGACTAAATTTGTGTCTTGGTGTATGGTTGCCCGTTTTACAAAAGGGATCAATACAGAAGAAAATTTTACAACATGTAGGGTTGCTGTTTGCATTGCCACTTTGCATACAGAGTAATTTTGGATTTTGAAAATCGTATAATTTATAGATCTGAAATGCAACCATATGATCATATTCTAAAGGCAATATAAAATAGGTAGGAAGGTTTAGGGCAGGGCAGAAAATATAATATGCTTTGGGCATTTGATTGACTTGGAAGTCCAAACTTATTTTAGTTAAGATTATAAAATCATTTTAAAAAGCGCATGTTAGTTTTGCTGAAAAGGAAAAAACGATTGTCCGATTTTCCATACCAACATAAATATGCCACCTTACATTAAATATGCTGAGAAAACTGTCAGATATTATTTGATATACTAGTCAGCTGTCTCAATCCATGATCCTATTAATTGTCATCAAAACATGATTTTGAATATTGACCAACATTTGTTTCTTTAACCAAGAAAAGGAAGCACACTGCCTAAATGTGTAAAAGAAAAATGCAGAGGTTATTAAAATGTAAAAAGGTATCAGTCTTTGGATTTGTCTATATATATATATATATATCTATGTCTATATATATATATATGGCTCTGCCTTAATATACCCTTTTTGTTCGTGACTCTCAACTGTAATCAGTTAATAAAGTATTTATTCTCTGCATTCAGGTTCAAATAACTTGTTGCATTCTATATTTAAATTAGTTTTTATCAGATAGTGACTATAACTTATTGGTATTTTGAAGTATTTGACTTAAGAGATTATTAAATGTCCTGTTCTAAGACACAACTATAGTAGGTTCACTATGCTGTAAGTTTCCTTAAATTGGAAAGCATGTATCAAATTCTGGAATTTATGTCAGCATTTCTAGTAGATAAAAATATAGCCATTTATCATTATTTAATGGAAAGAAGCTAATTTAAAAGCTTGACTCATGCACTGATAGTTACTGTCATAGTTGGGTCTTTTCTATTAAAGTTCAGCTTCCTGGCTTTACTGTTCCTAGGGAGTGGCTAACGTCCTGGTATCTCTGTTTGGCCCCTCTCTCTGGCCTCCCATCTTGCTCTTTATCTCTGTGTCTCTGTAGGATTGGCCTCCCCAAAAAGGTCAGAGAGGCTCTTTCCAGAGTGTTCAAAGGAGGCCTTTTCCAACACGTACCACCTCACTGTGTGGGACTGAGGTCCACTGAGGTTGAGTTACAGCATTATATAAAGAATGCAGATTACCTAGATTTAGGGATGTTCCTAGAGACAACTTTTTTATCAGAGAAAACTCTCAAGACAGGGCAAACAGAACAAACCCATGAAATCTGTGGACTAAAGGCTCTTAGAAAGTGGGGAGCAATGAGGAGGGGGCTAGTGGACTGTTGGAGAGGATTATTACAACTTCAGTGGTGGGCATAACCTAAACCTCGAAAACATGGTGTTGTAAGCCAACCCTACCATAATAAAAAAGGCAGACGTCCAAAAGCAAGGTTTTGTTATATGAAGTCATTTCCCTTATAAGAAATGCCCTTCTGCCCCTGACATCCAAGGTTTCTTAACACAGAGTTTAAACACTTGGTTTTCTCGAGTCCTTTTAGAATTGACAGCTGTGTAAATCTCCATGCATATTATTGAATTGTGTCTTTTTCTCCTAACCTGTCTGACGTTAATTTGTCCAGCCTCACTTTGATCTCAGAGGGGTGAAGAAACTCCCCTGCATCCTGACTTCTGCATCTTCTCTCCCATTTTTTCCTTTGGCTTCAACTTCTCACTGAACACATATCCACTAATCTTTCTCTGTGCCCCTTTCTTAGTTTTATTTCTTTTCCTACTTTCTAACATCTCATATTACTCCCTTTCTGCCCTCACCTCCTTCAAAAGGACCCTTTTCTCCATCTCTCCCTTTTTTAAAGATTTATGTATTTATGCATACAGAACTGGGGTACAAGCCAGAGGTGTAGGGGTGGTGAGAGGCTTCACCAGAGACAGAGTAGGGAGCAGAACAGGCAGATCAATGAAGTACACTGCTGAGGGGTCAGGAGAGGTCTGCCACGCCATGTGGGTCACCTCCGGGGCTGGGGATGGAACTCGCTCTGAAGCCTCTGCAGCCAGCTTGCAGTGCTGCATCCTAACCTGTTGCGCCACTGGGAGGAGGGGGGTAGAGGGGGCTCTTTAAGTCCGGGGTCTCTTACCCCTCATTCTGTGATCCTGTTCTTTACCCCATTTGGTTCCAACCCCCTGTGTATCTTTACACCTGCTATCCTCCAAACTGGTAGTCACCCTGGTGTTCCACCTCTTGTCTTGGGCCTTTACCCAGCCCCTCTCTGACTTGATTCTCTGAACCCAGTTCTTTTGCCCCATGAGCTCCACACGTCCCCCCTCTATGAGTCAGTCATCCAACTCTCCACTCTGTAGCGCCTCCCCCACCCCACTTGTGCTTCTGACAGTGCCACTCACCCTTGATGCTCCGTCCCAAACTGTCCATCTCCAGCTTGTCCACTCTGCACCATCCCAGCTGCTGCTCCAACCCAGCTCCCCTTACCAAGCCCCATCTGCTGTTCTGCCCTATCTCCCTTATTTTTTCACCTTGTCTGACCAGCTGTGACCTCTCCCTCTCAATCCCCACATGTAATTTTTGATTAAATGCTAAAATTCTGTTTTCTGGACACTGAAGCTGTCACCATGACATGAACATGGAAGAAAAGGGAATGCAAATTTTAAATTGATAGAATTGATCAGTATATTTTACTACTACTACTACTATGATTAGTAGTAAATTTTAGAGGTTCAGCTCACTGGACAGATCTGTAATTCTTTCATATCGTTGGCTGCCCTGGGTCCACTTACCCTGAGTCACCACAATACTTGAACACTTAAGGGATGGTCCCTCTCAACAGGCACATTGGAGGAGATCACTAACTGGGTACAGGGCAGTAAAATCCTGGACAGACTTTTCAGTAGCACATAGTTCAGACTGAACTTTTACCCAGGACTCATGATTTGTGAAAAATTAAATATTCTTCCTTTTTCATTACTGTATTTACAACAATAGCAATAATTGCAGCACCTTGCTGTATGTAGCATTTTAGCCTGAAGACAAGAAACATGTAGGAAAGTAGATAGTGAAAGGTCTCTCAGCCATTATTCTGGTTTGATCAGCAATGTTAAAGGACATCATGAGTTCCTCAGTCTCCGAAACTTGATTCATTTTCTGAGCACGCTCATATTTTTTCCTAAAAGATTTAGGGCTATAGACTTTAACTGGAAAATACTGCATTCTCAAAGGTTATGTTCCTATGAAGAATTTTTATGATTTGTCGCAAAAGCTAACAAACCACTAAGTTGCAAGAATTAAAGTGAATTCTATTGTGCTGCTTGTTATCATTTATAAACATTTGATTGAGGAAAAAATACATAAATATTAGATCAACTGTTATTTACCTGTAAAGATAAAATTGGGTCTACATGTGATGTTAGTCATAAGAAAATTCCAAGGTATCTTATTTAAATGTTAGATATGAAAGTGCTACAGACATACTAAGAGTATCCATTTACATGGGTCAATTCCTTTTTGGATCTGAATGGGGAAAGAATTTTTAAAAAACGATTTATTAGCATATAAGAGCTGGGGTGTAGACCAGAGGTGTAGGGGGTAAGAGGATTCAGCAGAGATAGAGTGGGCAGCAGTCAGGTGGATCCACTGTTGAGGGGAGCTGCAAACGAGACAGGAGAGGTCTGTCACAGCATATGGGTCAGCTCCCTGGCCAGAGATCTAACTCTTGATGCCAAAGTTGTTGGTGATAACTTGATAGTGCTGAGACTTAACTCCTGCACCACTAAGGAGGCTCTGAATGGGAAAAGGCTTTCCAACTTTGATCTATATTCAATAAAAGAAAGTTTTTTTTTTTAAGATTTATTTATTCATTTATGCATACAGAGCTGGAGTACAGGCAGAGGTGCAGGATCGGTGAGAGGATTCACTAGAGAAAGAGTGAGGAGCAGAATAGGCTGATCAACGAAGTACACTGCTGAGGGGTGCAGCGGATGGTTCATGAGATGTCTGCCATGCCATGTGGGTCACCTCCAGGTCTCAGGATTAAACTAGCACTGAAGCAGCTGCAGCTAGCTTGCAGTGCTGCGTCCTTACCCATTGCACCACCAGAAAAGGCCAAGAAAGTTTTAAATTCAACTATGTAAAACTCATTGGGAAAAAGCCCCATAATGATAAAAAAATCATAAGCAAAATGAGAAGGCAAACAAAAAAATCGAGAGAAGATACTTAGTCTATATCACAGATAAAAGACTGATACTGCTAAGGTGAACACTGCTTCAACTAGAGATAGGGAAACCAAAATACCTATTGAATGTAAATAGGCAAAAGAGATGAACAAATAAATAAAAATGTGAAAAATGACCCTTGAACATATAAATTATGTTCAACTTCCTTTAAAGAAACGCCAACTTAAAACTATACTGAAATACTATTTCTGTGATCTGAATGGAAAAATTTTATAAGCTTAACATCCTGTGTTGGAGAAGTGCAGTGGAAAGAGGTGTATTGAGTCACAGCTCATAGACACGCAAAGGCAATAGAACCTCTAGCAAGGGGAATTTGTAATATTTAATAATACACACACTCCTCTCTAGGAACTGACCATGAAGATACAAAGCTACTGTACAATATTCATAGCTATTCATTATGGCTTTACTCGTAATTACAAAATATTAGCAATAATATATACCTGTACATAGGAAATGGTTGAATAAACAGTGATATTGTCACATGATGGAGTACAATTAAATTATTTTTTACAAAACAGTAACAGCTGATTACTGTCATCTGTTGGAGTATCTTCCAGACTGGTATCTGTCTCTTCCCACTGAAGAAATACAGGAAAGAGAGCCAGAAATGAAGAGAACAAAATTTGCTACCCACAGAAGGTGGAAAGGTGGTTATGAGATGGAAGTTTAAAGACTAAGAGACTCTTCTCTAACTGTATCTTTTTGTGTATTTTTACTTTTAGAACTTTTTTAAAAAAAATTAATTTATGCATTCAAGAACTGGGGTACAGGCTAGAGGTAGTGGGGTAGGGGGCTGGTGAGAGGACTCAGAGACAGAGTGGGGAGCATAACAGGTGGACCTACTGACATCTGTTGCTGAAGGGAGCAGCGGGAAGGACAGGAGAGGTCTGCTGCGCCGTGTGGGTCACCTCCGGGGCTGGGGTTGGAACTCCTGAACAGTGACTGCAGATGCTTCATTGTGCTGCGCTTACCTCTTGTGCCACCAGAGAGGGCCCTAGAACCTTTGCTAGTGTTTCACATTTCCAAGAACTAAGATTTAATCAACAATGAGGAAAAATCTTTAAGACTAGTTTCTGTAATCCTTAGTGCCAGTCAGTATGTGCCAACTCTGTGTTAAGGCCTACCTGGCGAGACAGCGATAGCTTGGCCTCCACCCTCTCTTCCCAAACACCCAGAGACATCCACCTTTTCCCTCACACCTCTCACCAAGGAATCAAGCTGTTCTAAATGAAAGAGGATTGACCATGAGAGCAAGGAAACTAAGGAACCCAATCTTCCCCTCCCCAAATTATCCCAGAGGAGTGGATTCCTCTCACCAAGTATAGAAATGCTAGAACAAAAGCCTCTAGCATTTCTTTACCATTGCAGCCCTCTGCTGGTATAAGAGAAATATGATGATTGTGCTATTTGCTTATCCGCCAGTAATGCTGGGAAAGGAAATTTGATAAGCTATCACCACTAAGATCTCAGATTCAAACTTTTCTTCACTCAGATGACACTTCTGTCCACACTGAGTTGTCTGGAAATGTTGGAAAGGAAAACTCAAGACTTTTTCTTTAGTTTTCATCATACTACTTCCTGTCTTCTCTTCCTGATCTATATAAACACCTTTCTTTTATGTGTATGTATATGTGTGTGTGTATTTAAAGAGCAGTTTTAGAAAAAAGGGGACAGAAAATAAGACACTTTCATAAGCACAAGCAGGCAGAAAGAGTTGCCCCGAAAGGGACAGGTTTGCAGAGAAAGAGGCCTGCATGTTTGTAAGCGGGTAGCCTTGAGCAGAGTGGCCTCTGCTGAGGGAGGTCAGTCAGGAGAAGCCCGGGCAGGTACAGGTCCCAGGCGGGCAGGAGACTGCTGCCGTGCAGAGGGAGAGCGGGTGGGAAGAAGCACCTGCATAGGCACAGGTGGGCAGAGGAGCTGCCTACTCCTTTATTTCTCTGACTGCTCTTCACCTTCTCTTGAAGTCCCTTCAAGGTTTTAGCCTAACTCCTTTTCTTTCTATACATTTATGTCTTTAATATTTGTATGGTTTTATCAGTTGTTTGAGAATCTCCCCAGCACTTCATCTCTAATGCCCCAGCTCTACATTTCAAAGTATTTACCAAGAATGGATGTCTTCTGGCACCACAAACTCATTATATCCTAATCTGGGTTCTGCATTTTCCATTTGTTAGGACCTAGAAGTAAGGCCAGAGAATTAGTGAGTGTCCTTTCTGCTATGTGTCACCCTACAGCAGTGTTTCAAGTGTGGTCCCGGACCAGGCAGCGTCAGCATAACCAGGGAACTTATTCAAAAGGCAAATCCTCTGGTTCTATCCAAGATCTACTAAGGCAGGAGCTGTGGAGGTGAAGCCCAGAAATCTGTGGTTTAACAAGCCCTCTTGTGATTCTGAGGCTCCCTCAAATATGAGAACTGCTGAACTAGATGGGCAAGCTAGGGCCTACAGGTCAATTCTAGTCACTACTTATTTGTTTTTTTAATTGTTATTTTCATTTATTTATTTATGCATACAAGGACAAGGGTACAGGCCAAAGATATAGGAGGTGAGAGGATTCATCAGAGACAGAGTGGTGAGTAGAAAAGGCAGATTGATTGAAATACACTGCTGAGGGGAGCAGTGGGTGTGACAGGAGAGGTCTGCCGCGCCATGAGAGTCACCTCCCTGGCTGGGAATCAGTACTCGTGCTGTAGTGGCTGCAGATGGCTTCATAGTGCTGAGACTTAACCCCTTACCCAGGGAGATCCAAATGCCTGCTTTTATAAGTTTTCATGGCTGCATTATGGTATCATTTTATAAGGAATATGGCTGCATTATGGTATAATTTACCTATCATTTATCACTGCTTTCTCTCTACAACACAAAAGTGAACTGGGTAGTTATAACAAAAACTAGGAAACTCATAGCCTAAAATATTTACTATTTGGTCTTTATAGAAAAAGTTTGCCAACCACTGGCTTGGAGCACCCTCTACCAAACCCTCCTGAGGATGATCAGTTGTCACAGGAAGGATAATTTCATTGGACTTACTATTTATTATCAAGTTGGGCCCACAATCTATAAAGTTAGCTGTTAATAATGTAAGATTGGTAACTTACATAAGCCTCATCTTTTTAATTTTTTGAAATGTATATTTTGATACTGACAAGAGCAAGTTCCTCTTAATTCCCTGTCTCTGCCATACATCTCCTTGCTACATGGGTTTCAACCTCAGCACCTGTCTCAACTCCTTCCTTACTCTTCAAACAAGTCAGTCTCCAAATCTCACTAGTTTCACTTTCCAGAAATTCTCAGAGCCTCACTCTCTATTCTTTCCCATGCCATTTTTTCCCCATTCCATTTCCAATTCCAGAGTTTAAGCCCCTGTTTCCTTTCTTGAACTTTTATATAGTGCCTTTCTGAATCTTTATAACCAGCCCAGTCTATGCATGAAGCTGCAGTAAAAATCCCCAAGGAAGAGTTCTAGGTATTTCACGCCTCTGCTAAAAACCCTCTGTTGGTTTCTCATTGCTTAACAGTAAGGGGAAGTTCTAGTTCTTTAGCCATCCCCGCCCCACCTGCAGTTTTAATGTAGGTGCATAGCATAATATATGACACATGTTTACATTGTGAAATGATCACAATAAATTTAAGATCTACTCTTAGCACCTTTAAAATATGCAAAACAGTATTATGAACTGCAGTCTGTACATTAAATCCCTAGGATTTATTTTATACCTGGAAGATGTTATCTTTGGGTCACCTCGACCCAGTGTACCCAAGCCAACTTCCTTAGTCTGCTCTTCAATTTGACCTAGTTTATTGTCCTTGTCTACTCTGTCTTTTTCCTCCATTCTATTTGCCTTTCTTCTTGTGTCCCTCTGTCCTGTTTCTGCACATCCAAATCTAAGAATTTTCTTTTTTAACTCTCAGCTTGAAACTCCACCACACTGATCCTTTTATCTGAGAGTCGTTTCTCTGCTCTAAATGCCCAACACATTTAATGTGTTTCTCTTTTATGGCACACATCACTTTTTATTTTATGACATGGTCTTTTATGGACATTTCTGTGGACTCATTGTAAGGCCGTTTCTATGACCCAACTTTGTATCTGCATTATTGTCTGTGAATTTTTTAAGTGGCAGCTGCTGAAAAATCACTATCAAAAATTAAACTCTCAATTGAACAAGTAGCACTAAATTACTTTTGAATGCCAAAAAGTCTCATCAAAATGTTTCTTTCCCTCTTAAAAATATTAAAGGAGAGAAAAAAAAAAAGAATACTCTTCAAAGCTTAAATGCAACGAATCTTTTCTTTTACTTGATGTATCATTTCACCATAAATAAGATTTCTCATTCTAATAAGTCCCAGCACTGGGCTATTCAGTGTTGTTTATTCATCAGTGAAGTTTTCTAAGTGAACATCATTCTAATCAAGAGGGCTCTTTCATATATGTGTTTTTTATGAATCCCAAAAATCTTAATTTGGTCTTTTCATTTATTAAGAAAACACACATTTCTTTAACTGAAGAGGGATATTATTAAGTCCTAAGATACACCAAATCAATCAGAAAACAAAGGAAGTTATGATGCATCTGTTTTCTCCTACTAATGACTTTCATGCCTGTGACATTATAAAAAATGTTCCTCCATATGGATGGATTTCCATCCATCACCTGGAAAGCTTGTTATATACAGAAAGGTTGAACTAATTTTACAGTAGACATATAGACACTACACCATTAACATTAACAGCGGTTGTTTTTTCACACATCTTTTATCTATGCATTCATCAACCCATCTTATGTTTTTGATGAATTTCAAACATCAGTAGTGTCCACTCTGCAATGTCAGTGAGTGAAGAATAACAGGGCAATAAATCCGTATAGTCCATTTTCCCTCATTTTACTGTGTGGCATTGAAGGTTGCTTGGTCTCTGCAGGGCATTGAGTACATTTAATCAAAGACTGAAGGATAGTTTGACCAGATGTAGACAACCCCCAGACAGTAGTTATCTTCTTCTCTCTATTCGCTTGAAAGGGAGCTTTTTTTTTTTAATTAATTTATTTATTTTGGGGTACAGGCCAGAGGTGTGTGTGTGGGGTAAGAGTCTTCACCAGAGACAAAGTGGGGAGCAGAACAGGCAGATGGACTGAAATACACTGCTGAGGGGAGCAGCGGGCAGGTCAGGAAAGGTTTGCTGCACCATGTGGGTCACCTCCCTGGCTGGGGATCAAACTGGTGCTGCAGTGGCTGCAGTTAGCTTCATAGTGCTGCGCTTTAACCTGTTGTGCCACCAGAGAGGACCCTGGAGCTTTTGTTTTGTTACCAGAAGAAGAAAGGGAGCTTTTGGCCCCAGCCAGAAGCTAAGAGTATAAGAAGCTAAGTATGTAGGAGGATGGTAGTGTAAGTATGTAGAGGATGGTAACAGGGACCCCTCCCCACCTCCATGGGTTTTGAGTCTGAAGTTTGTGGGAAAGTGTTGAGCAGCAAGGTTGCACCAGACTGCCTAGTCCTAGGTTTCAGTTGCCCCTCACTGTTTGACCTTGAATGTGACATTGCGTTTCCACCTCAGTTTCCTTATCTGCAAAACAGAATTATTAAAAACAGGAAACAAAATGGAGTAGTTTTTGCTGAGGCCTACGAAGACTTAAAAACTAACCTAATGACAGTTTTGGCCTCTCCCAACAGTGAAATTTTAAACCAATCACTCTGGGAGGAGTTTCCAGATCGGTATTTGTGCAGTAATCTGCCCCTGACCCCTCTGCCTTTCCCTAAAAGAAGGTAGCTCTGCCTTCTTTTCCTTTGTTATCACCTTGAGCCACCCTCTTTCTGACTTAACCTCTTTCATCTTGAATAAAGAAAACCTTTCGTTTTTGGCAGCATTTTTCTAGTTGCTAGATGGAATACTGTCCAAGTCATGAATCATTTCATTTAATAAAACCATTTAGATGTTTAATATTAACGGCTGAATTTTAGTTATTTGACAAATGTAATGGTAGTGCCTACGTAAGTTGTAAAAATATGTGTCTGACTTGTAACTCAATTGTTAAAACTACAAGAATTAAAGAGTTTCCTTAAAGTCCCACAAAATTAACAAAGTGACTATGGCAGCTGGTGAACAAGAACGAGACGAGGGAATTAAATGCTTCTGACAGGCGGAAAAGGAATTTAGAGAGATGCAGGGAGAGCCTTTCCAGACGGCCTATTACACTTAAATGTAAATACACTTTATCTCCTTGGCCTTCAAAACCCCTACATTATTTGATCTCTGTCTCCATCGCCAACTTCACCTCCTCTCCTCCCTTTGTTTCTCAGGTTTCAGAATGAGCTTCCATCCTCCTCACATTTGAATGTAGTGCTTCCTTTGGATGAGACTTTTTTTTTAAAGATTTATTTATGCATACAGAACTGGGGTACAGGCCAGAGGCACAGGGACGGTGAGAGGATTCACCAGAGACAGAATGTGGAGAACAGGCAGATCGATGAAGTACACTGCTGAGGGGAGCAGTGGGTGGTCTAGGAGAGGTCTGCCGCGCCATGTGGATCTCCTCCGGGGCAGGCGGGGATCGAACTCATGCAGAAGTGGCTTTAGCTTCCCAGTGCTGTGCTTTAACCCGCTGCGGCACCAGGGAGGGCCCTGGATGAAAGACTTCCTCCAGATTTTTGCGGGCAGTTTGTTGAGGGCAGGAGGAGGCGGGGCGACCTAGGAGGCGGGGCTAGGAGGCGGGGTCTAATGGGAGGCGGGGCAGGGGCGGAGTCCAGCGGAAGCCGGGGCTAGGGCCAGGAAGTGACGGGCTCGGGGACTTCTGCAGTCGGTGAGGTTCCCGAAGCCACCTCTGCGGCCGCCGCCTTCCCGGGCTCTGGGCGATGGAGAATGGAGCGGTGTATGGTTCCACCACGGAGGAGGATCCGAACTCTGACAGGGGCTCCCGGAGGGGCCTGGCCAAGTACTTCTCTCTACACCGGCTGAGTAGGCCTCAGCGGGTGTTCAAATCTTTAGAGCTGGTGAGTCCGCTGCCGGGGCGGAGGAGCGGGGTTCGGTGCTGGGGACTGGCGCTGGCGCTGGGGCGGCCTTCCGGAAGGTTCGGAGGCTGCCGCGACGCTTCTCCTCCACTTAGTTCAGGAAGCTGCTGTTTCCATACCCCAGTTACTTCTCTCTGCCACTGGAGAGGGGGGCGTTACTCGCTTCGCCTCGCCTCGCCTCGCCTCGCCTCGCCTCGCCCCACCCCACCCCCCTTCCATGGGGCGGATTCCCCATCCTCAAGGGCCTCGCCGTCCCCGGGCCCCCGCTGGCGACCTCGAGCCACCCAGCACGTTGGGCGGGTTCAGGAAGTGCGTCGGAAGAGACCCAAGTGTGCAGCTTAGACTTATTTCACCCATCCTCGGCTGCCACTTTGCTCTGCTCCCTGATGTCACTCCGCATTATCGCCCGCACGCCTGTATTTAGACTACGAAATGCTTTTTATCTCTGGTTCTTGCGGTTTTCCTGGTGCGAACGCATAGAGAAGGGGGGGCACTTTAATGTTCATCGGCAGTCTTCTACCACCCACGGCACTGATGTGTGTGCCCAATATATTGTCTCCCCAGAGTTTTATATTGACTGGAAGAGAATGGTGTCTGAGTATTTATACCAGGTAAAAAGTCAAAAGGACAGCTTTTGGTTTACGTGCAGGTAGCCAAACCAGTTACCTTACGCCGTTAAATATTCAAATATCCTTGGATTTAAATGTTACTTCAATTTATACACACATTGCGCTCCTATATCCTGTTTTAACCAACGATGTGCAACATTTTCTGCAAAAGAAGTCATGTTTATGTCTTGATTCCTTCACCATCCTAAGTAAAAATAGCCACTTGGTTTCCTTGAGAACAACTTATATTCTTAGAACTCAGAAAACCAGAATATAAATTCTTAGAAATTAGATGATCTACTTTTATTTAGAAAAATAGCAGTAGTGTCAGAAAACTGGCACTACTTTTAGTCACCAAAGTGATACTATCAGGGAATAAATGAGAAATCATTTGGAGACAGAGGGCTGAGTGGCTTATGAGAGCCAAGAAGGTCTGGCTCTGTCCATCTCTCCAGCCTTCTTGTAGGTAATCCACACTCACAACCTTGAGGTTTTCACCTCATGTGTCTGTGACTCCATCCTGTCATTGTTCCTTTGCATAAGCTGTGCCTTCTCTCTCAAAGAGATTTCTTCTCTCTTTGCAGGAGAGATATCAGCTCTGTTTATCTTGAGTAGAGTATTGAATAGAAAACTTATAACAGAAGGGAATTAATACTCATCTGAAGAGATGTCAGTGTTGGCTTGCTGCCCATTAAATCTCCTATTTTCACTTGCTTTTATTTTTCCTTCTCAGAAATGACAAAGCTAATGTAAAATTGCTCATTGCTGTATTTGTAGCTTAGTAAACTGTGGTTCTCTATCTTTGGAATAAAATAGAACCATAGCTTTGTATGTGGAGAGGAGGAAGATGAACTTGCCTGAAAGGGTTGTTGAACTATTCCTGTTTTCCCCCTCCATTTTCTGTAAGAAGAAACAAAAACTAATGTCTCTTCTTGAAATCCATTTATCTTCTTAATGGCAAACATAATGTTAAAACATGCTTTCTTTAATATAGATTTTAAAATCTCTTTCTTCCTTATTGCCTTTCATTTTGATGGTTGTTTTTTGGTTCCTATTTTGTCTGTTGTAATAAGTTCTTTTCACAACAGTATTACATGGGATTTACTCTGAAAGTTCCAAGGAAATAATCTAGCCTGGGGCAGGAGGCAAAGTCTCCTTTGCCTTAACTCAAATTCTGCCTTTAGGTTCTACTTTAAATGCTTTATTTTAAAAAGTTAATTAGAATTGCAGTGCTCCAATAAGGAAACAACCAGTGGAGAAACACTAAATCAAAAGAAGAGGTACTTTAATAAGGGACATGCAAGCTCTGTGATGGTTTATCCAAAATGGTAAACTTATGTGTATGGGTATGTTATTGTGGACACATGATCTTCTCAGATTCTTGGACCTTAAAAGAGAAAGGAAATTTGCTGTAAAAAGTAAAAACCAGATACCATGTAATTAGGAAATTCTGATTCTTAGATCACAGTCCTAGGTGGTTGTATTGGTTGAAAGGAAAGATTCTTAAGATTTTTATAGATCTCTCAGACTCTGGGGTTGGGGCCTGTTACTGCATTCCACTGGGGAAGAGGGTGGAGCCTGCCAACATGGAGGGGGACGTTAGTGGTATAAGAGCATACTAGCTCCTGAGTTAATGTTACACAGCTGTGTCTACCATTAGCCGTGACTTTAACTATGTCCAGAAAATAAGTATTCCCCTTACTGTCAGCCTTCCAGAGCTGAAGAAATGCTCGCCTGAGAATTCAGTGTAGGAGTCATCAATGTAAGGAATCATCACAGTTTACTTACTTAGCAGTTTACTCTATCCTTAGATTGGCCCTTGTACGCATGGTCTGTTTTTGTAAGGTTTATCTTGTTATTTTTGAGTTATTTTTTTTTTTAAAGGGGGAGCATTGACATTGGACAACCTGTTTTCTTGCTGGGAAGTTGGTGCATTGATCTAAATGTATGTGATAGTCTCACTGCAACAAGCTTACATTGTATTATGGTTGCAGTTGAATGTCCTGATGGCTACATAGTATTGTGATTACAGTGACTCTTCAGGCAGACAGTTTGATTTAGAATTCACCCAGTGATTTAAATTTATTAAAGTATAAATAATGTTGCTTTTATAACTGCCAAGAAACAAATCACTTAGAAACAATGTTTATTGGTATGCTTTTCATTATTTAAATGTGAAAATGTGTGTGCTAAGTGAAATGTTCTATTTTTATTTTGAGGAAGATACATATGTCAGCAAGCTTACTCTTAGTCTTTGTAAATGTTTGCCTAAGGTAAGGGATACCTAGCTTCAGTCTGTTACATTTGTTTACTTGAGCCTTACACATAGCTTTGAATAGCAAGTTCATAAATTCATAGTTCAATATTTTTTTGTAGATGGAACCTTATATTTAATGACAAACACAGGAAAGTTCTTTTTATAAAAGTTCTCTTAGTAGTAGACTGTTAAAGACAAATTTTGGCAACGTAGTTTTTAATACAGTGCTTGTTAATTTTAAGGAAGACTCAAATTTCAGAAAAGGTAGTGAAACTGAAATGGAGAGACACAAGGTAGTCACCAGAACTGTGAGTAAGACCATCTTTTAGTCACTAACACTTCCCATCATATATGTTAACCCCAGCAAATTGACTTTAATGTGTTATTTAATAAGCAGAAAGGGAAATGCACAGAAGTTGGGTGATAGCCCCAAAAAACCGTTGTTAAGGGAAAACTGCACAAACATAGTTGTACAATACACTTCATAAACATGTTTTATGGGAGAAAACGTACAGAGGGAGGCCAGAGATTTGGGGTCTTCTCTGTGTCTGGTTTATTTGGGATTTCCCTTGCCACAGATGAGGTGCACTGTCTGTGCACATGAGGTTGGCAGCCACACCCTCTCCAAAGGCCCTGAAACCTGGGTAATTCCCTTCATTATATTTGGGTAAAATTTTATGTCATCAGAAGGTGCTGTATTGGGTGCAGAGTAGTTAGATGCTTTCCAATCAGTAAGCAATATTTAAGTGTGATGACTTCATGAAAACAAAATTGTTTCTTGGAAATAATTAAACCTTTTAATTTATGGTGACACTCACCATTTTATCCCCTTACCCAATTCACTGACCCTCCATTTTTCTCTCCTTGATCACTTTGCTATTTAATTCTGGTGACTACTCATTTCTTGATATTTCACTAACTTTCACATTTTTTTTCTTTTTTGAATAACAAAAAAAATGTCTGTTTACCAAAGAAAGTCATCTGAAAAATACGATTAAAATAAGAATGATTGACTGGTTGGAATATGTTTACTTGCTTTCTAAGGCATTTTCCTAAAAAATGTTTGCCTCTCCATGACTTGCTTCCTCTGACTTGCTTGTCTGGTGCTGGCTTGTCTGGTGCTGGCTCTTTTTCCTTCCAAATCCTGAGTGTGGTGTCTTCAGGCCCCACTTACTCCTCTGCTGCTCTTGTCTTCTAACCAACTAAAGTAGGCAGACAATCTCTGCTACCTTTATCTAGAAGTCCATACTGTCTGACATGATGATCACACAGCTACACCTAACACCTTAACCATTTTTCTCATCACTCCCCATCCAGTTACTTCAGTTGTCTTTTGGGCTGAACATGCAAATGCTTGCCTTCTCTACCAGTTCCACCTCACTTCCCCTCCAAAGGCCCCTGCCTCTCCATAGCCTCTGTTTCTCTTGGCCCTGACTTAGTCTTTCCCACTCACCTGCCTCCGGCTGCTCTTAGTCCAGATGAATCTGAACATCTTGCTGACGTTTTTCTGAATTTATATGTCATGAATGCTGAATTGTGAGCTATACAATATGTTGGCTTCTTGTTTCGTGTATGTTATCTTGTTGCTCTGTCACACATGTTCCTATATGTGTTACAGTATTGAAGACATGGTTTTCAAATATACTTTGCTTTGTCCTAGAGACTGTATAGTGCTGGGAGATTATAAGAGGAGGGTAGTCAGAGATGATCAGAGATGGGAGTCAAGAGAAAAGTACATACTGCATGTGGCTTGTCTTAATCTGAGGGTACGAACTAGTAAATGGCCAAATTGACAGTGTATCTCTTCAGGTGTCCATGCTGAATCCACCTCTTACTACTGCTGTGAGGCTTATAGTCAGTAAGAATGATTGCTGTCAGTAAGTTTGGAACCAGACTTGTAATGACTTGGTATGACTGCTTCTGGCTAGGCTAATTCCTGCCTCTTTCTATCCTAGCATAGGAAGATACTGTATCTTCCACAGTATCTATGCTAGATAGATTTATCACCATTTAGTTTACACAGGTGACTGTTCCTAATAATCTAACTATTACAATAAGGATGGTTCATGATAAGCAGTTCTCAAACTTAAGTTAGAGCATTAGGTTGATACCATCTCACAGTTTGATTGACTTTTATACACCCAAACTATTTTTTCGCAAATTTCTCAGAGAAACTTAAAACTTGGAGATGAATTAAGAGGCAAGAATAAAGCAAAATAGAATATTAGACATTTAATATTTTATTATACCATAGTCATTTAAAAACTTATCTTTAATTATAACTCTAAGAGGCTAAGGAAGTACCTTTACACAGTGACCTTCTGAATTTGTCTTGGCATGTGTCACATTATATAGCCTGTGGTCTAATGCTGGGGAACGCCTCACCGAAGATCTCTTTGAAGGAAGTTGTTTGGGATGTGCTGGACTATTTTATGCTTTACTGACTTATAGGATAGCATAGTGTTAGGATCTATTTTTGTCCCTGTGGAGACTGTTTTCACTTGTGGGGGAGAAGTCCCCCAGAGGCTTAGATACCAATTTATTGTTGACCTCTTCTTTAAAAATTTTTTTATTTTGAAATAATTATAGATTCTTAGGAAGTTACAGGGGGAAAAATTGTGCAGGCAGGTCCTCCATACCCATTAAAATATGTGTGTGTGTGCAGTTGTCTCACTTGTACGGTAAAACCACAATCAAGATACAGGGCTGTCTCATCATCACAAGGTCCCCCATAGCCCCCCTTTAGTGCCATACCTTTCCCCTGGCTACCACTAATTTGTTCTCCACCTTTATAATTTTGTTATTTGAAAAATTCTAGGTAAGTGGAATCATTCAATATAGAGTATTTCGAGACTGGACTTTTTCACATTACATAATTCTCTGGAGATTCATCTAGGTTGTTGCATATGTCAAGTTTGTCCATTTTTATTGCTAAGTACTATTTTATGGTATGGATGTATCATAATTTGCTTCATCATCAAAAGGCATCTGGGTGATGCCAGTTAGGGACTATTATGAATATCATATGAAAACTTTTATGCAGACAAGTTTTCATTTCTCTGGGTCATATGTTGAATGCAAGAATGCAGTCTCTGGAAGTTACATGTCTAGGTTTTAGGTTTTTTTTTTATTACAGAAGTTTATTTTTACATCATTTTGTACATTTTTTTTTCCATCTCAATTGTAATCCCCGCGGGTTTCCCATCACCAAGTCACCTGTGTGCCATCACCATAATCCCACCCCACCCCCGTTTTTGATCCCATTCCCCACTCCACCCCCACAAAATGTCTCTGGTATATGGTTGTTCATTATTTTTGTTACTTTCCACCTGGTCCATTATACTCCTGCTATGAGTGAAATCATCCGGTATTTTTCTTTCTCTTTCTGGCTTATCTCACTAAGCATGATCTTTTCCAGCTCCATCCAAGTTGCTGAAAAAGACTACATGTCTAGGTTTTTAAGAAGCTGCTAAACTGTTTTCCAGAGTGGCTGTATTATTGACCTCTTTTTGATGAAAACATTTTGTAGATACCATTTTTATTACACTATGAAATGTACCTTTTGATTTTGGTAGCTCTCTGGTTGCTATTAAAGTATCTGTTTACTTCTGATGGTCCGACTGGGTGAGATAAGGGATTTCCCGATAGGCTTTGACTTCGGTCATAAAATCATTTTGATGGTTTTAATGCTAAGAAGGAAACTCCCTTAGCTTCCACAAAACCCACACAAACTGCCCAACCAACCTCTCTTCTTAGTCTTCCCTTCTGTATCTAAAGAGTTAACACCCTGAATCTTGAGTCTTACCTTCAGAAGTCTTTTTTTCTTCCTATATCTTTCTATCCACTTACTGGTTTCTGCCTAAGCATTTAAACATTCTCATTTCTCGCCTATCTTGAAATTCCCTTCCCCTTTGACCTCATCCATTGCTGCACTTCTGACCACTTTGGAAACCACACTGCTTGTGTATGCTTTCTATCTCACTGCCCTGTCTTCCCCTCACTTCTCAATTTCCCAGTTCTTCAAGTTTCCCTGTCTGACTGCACTGACATTGTTTTGCTGATAGCACCAGCAACTTTCTTGTCCCCATTCTAATTTAAGTGTTTCATTGTTCTTACTTGACCTCTAAGTGTAGCATTCAACACAATTGATTACTTTCTCTTCGTAGAACTTTTTTCTTAGTCTAATATTCCTTAGACTCTTGATTCTAACTGTCCTTTGTTGGTTTGCATAACCCTTCATCTTGGGATCCCTCAGAGTTCTACACAAGGCCAGCTTCTCATTCTAGGTGACCTCATCCTTTCACTAGCGGACTCCCACATCTTTATCTCTCCCTCAACTCTTAAGTTCTGGTTCTACATATCCAATTACAAAGTAAACCTACTTCCCCTACCTCTTCCACAGGTATAGCATATCTACAGATACAGCATACCTAAAACTGATTCTCTTCCCAGTACCCTTACCTCTTTAAAAAGGAAAAAAAAAAGTCTTACTTCATCAGTAAGGCACTAGTGTGTGAATACTACCTACACAGCATGGATGCCACTGTCAAAACCCACCTGTATCAAGTTGCCAAGTTCACCTGAGTTAATCATTCTTGATTCACTGTGCATTGTTCTGACCCCTGCCTGCCTATCACTAACAGCCATGGCCGGTAGGCCTGTCTTGAGTACACCTGCCCTTGGGCCTCTGCCGTTAGTTTAATTGTGTTGTTTTCATACCTGTTTATACTAATTACTTTATACTATTTATACTTTTAATGGTCAGACAATTAAGCCAGTATTGCAGACTGAAACTGAATGTGAAGAGATTTTCTCTGAAAACTGTACTGGCCCTCTACCTGGAGTATCTTTTCCTATCTTTTACCTCCCTTGCAGAACTGACCTTACTGCCTTTCAGGTGTCAACTTTTCTTTACGAAGTCATTCATGACCTTTAAGTTGATAAAACAGCACTTTGGGCCTCGCTGGTGGTGCAAAGGGTTAAAGTCTCAGCACTGTGAAGCTATCAGCAGCCACTGGCCAGGGAGCTGATCCCCATAGCACAAGAGACCTCTCCTGTATTGCCCACTGCTCACCTCAGCAGTGCATTTCAGTCAGTTCACCTGTTCTCTCCACTCTGTCGCTGGTGAATTCTCTTACCACCACCCCTTCCCGCACCCCAGCTTATATGGATAAATAAATCTTGAAACAAGTAAAATAAGACAGTGTCCTGTGTTTCCCCTGTTCTAACATTTGTTACACAGTAATTATGTACCTGTGTTCCCTTTAAGACAACCAAACTAAGTCCTTTGTTTGTTCAGTAATGGTGTTTCCTGAATATTTCTGGTAAGCACTTAAGTAAAATGTTTTGTATTTTTTCTAGTTGCTGTCTCTGCTGGCCTTTATTTGTGAAGAAGTGGTGTCACAGTGTACTTTGTGTGGAGGGCTTTACTTTTTTGAATTTGTGAGCTGCAGTGCCTTTCTTCTGAGTCTCCTGGTGCTGATTGTATACTGCACTCCAGTATATGAAAAAGTTGATTCTTCAAAAGTCAAGTCATCGGTAAGCATGAAAAAATACAGTCCCTGTACTAAGAAAGTAGCTGTTTTGGGCTCTTGTATAGTTTTATTGTTCACAGTAGAAATGCTTTCAGAACTCAGTAACATGAGAAGACATTCTCCATTATGCTAACTCTGCCTGTAAACAAATCTGTTTTTCCTGCCAAATGGGATTACAGAGAGGGTAATTAGAATGAGTGACAAATAATGTCAATAGTTTGTAATTACTGGTATTTAATCTAATTGACGATTTTTTAAACTAGGGTTTTGTCATTTTTGATTTCTCACATTTTACAGTACACTTTTTGGCTCTACAATTATTTGTTGTGTACCTGTTAAGTATGAGGCACTCTGCACACTGAACATAGATAAATTATGTAATACATTTGTGGAGCTTTTACACAGAACAGTATGTAATTGCATCTGTTTGACTTTATTAAGAAAAGCTGTCTGTAAATGAAGAAGGCATTTGTTAAATTCAGTATTTTTATAAAACTGTACATGACAATTTTATTTTCACAAAATTAGAGATATTTAACTTTCTGAATATAATATGGATTTGCAGACTTACTTGAATATAATATGGATTTGTGAGATGACAGATGAGATAATTCATATGTACTATATTTAAAGAATTGAGCAACTTGTTGAATGGCATTTGAGTTATCAGTATGGGTTTGTAAATAATTTTATATGTTAGAGTTAACGTGAAAGAATTCACATCTGAGGAAAAAGATAAAATATATAGGGTGCATTTTTAATCATTAGGAACAAGTGATAAAGTATTAAGCGCTAAGCAATAAGATTCCATTATTTTAAATTGAGAAGCAAGTATTGGATGATACATTGATTATACCACTAAGATATTTACATTTTTCTATAGACCATTTTGTATCTCTTGCATTTTGTACTGTTGGAATCTATTATGTTCTTTCAAAGAATTTTTTAGGTTTAAAAGTTAAAAAATGAAGTGTTGATTCCAACATTTTAAATAATGACTTTAAACGTATAGCTTGGAAGTAATGTAACTGGAATTGGTAGTCTGACATTATAATCTGTATTTCAGGTTCTAGAACTATTCTCTCAGATTATCTTGTTTAACTCCATGATTGTATTTCAAATATCAATATAAAATTTTAAATACATATGTAATAGCTTCAAAGTATTCAAAGGAATAGAAAAAACAGTACAGTAAGAAAGGCACCTCTTTTAGAGACTAGAGAAAGCCTCTTAAGTGCTTTATAAATGTTAGTGAATAACTGACAGAGTAGGAATTCTGTTTGGGTAATTCTGTTAATACTTGATTTAGTGGAGATAGATTTTCAGAAAACTCAAAGTATCAGACGTAAAACACTTTGGAGTGGCTAGTTTCTCCTCTGAATCAAGTATGTATGTCAAGTACTGTTTTCAGTTGGTATAGGAGAGAGACCCTGTTAAGTAGGGCCTGAGAGAGCACTTGGAAACCCATGAAGAACTTCCTTGTTGGAAGCTGCATTATGATGAGTTAAGGAAGCTTTTATGTAGTAGATAAGCTCATTTTGGGTTATTGACTTGGAACAATTGAAAGCTATATGTTGTTCCAGAAAGCTTAAGTATTAAGAAACATACTGTTGGCATCATTTTATTTAATGTTGGGTGGTTCTTTTGAGTCTCTTTTACAAAATGCTTTCAAACTACTGGAGTATTCTCAAGAGTCCAACTTAGCACAAATTTGCAAGGGAAGAAAAAAAAATACCTTTTCCTGAAAGTTAGCTGGAATTTAATGAATCTTGGGCCTTTTTAATAATTTTAATATGTTCTGGAAGAGAAGAGGTATACACACAACCTTTTTGAGGAACTGTTTTTATTGAAATATATTACCTTGTGATACACTCTATAAATATGCCCTGTGTCCAAAGTGTAGATTGTGTTCCTTTGCTGAATGATCACTATATACCGCACTTACTGAAAAGATAGAAATTAGGTAAGTTTGGACTGTGTCAGAAAAAAAAAATTTTTTTAAAGGAAATTCCAGAACATTTCCATCCACCTAACCAGAATATTGCTTTTGTGTTTTATATGCATGTACAGGATTTTTATATTACTGTGGTAACAGGATGTTTGTTTTTGCTGGCATCCATCATTTTTGTTTGCACATATGACAAGACCTCAGCTGAATATGCTGCAAGTGTAAGTGACGTACAGTTTTATCTTTGCTTATTTCTGCTTTGCCAGAACTAGGTATTTGGAAAGTACTTGTGTTTTTTTTTTTTTAAAGATTTATTTATTTATTCATACAGAACTGGGGTACAGGCCAGAGGCTCAGGGGCGGTGAGAGGCTTCACCAGAGACAGAGTGGGGAGCAGAACAGGCAGATTGACGAAGTACACTGCTGAGGGGAGCAGCGGGCGGGTCAGGAGAGGTCTGGCTCGCCATGTGGTCTCCTCCGGGGCAGGCGGCAGGCGAACTCATGAGGGAAGTGGCTTCAGATTCTCAGTGCTGTGCCTTAACCCGCTGCGCCACCAGGGAGGGCCAAGTACTTGTGTTTTAATTAGATAAAATGTTACATTATTATAGTACTTAGATTTCACTGGATATATTTAAGTAACTCAGTATAATATGCTGGACATTGCCTTTTGCAATTATGAAAAGCCTTATAGGCTTAAATGAGTGAGGGAGTCCATTAAAAAACATTATGAGATATGTAAGCAAAAGAGCTGAAAAAATCATTTGTCTGGTTTAAACATTATAGAGGGCTGGGCATGGGCTAGAGCTCTCTAAGGTGGTCAGAGGTGACTTGACAGAGCAGGCAACATCTGGTCAGTAAGTTAACGGGCAGCACTGGGATCAAGGCCAGAAGCCAGAATAAGGAGTCCAGTGAGAAGTGACTTGGTGTGGGGTTGAGTGGCATTGCTAATTCCATTAATGTGTTAGTGACACTAGGTGAATGAGTGAATTTGAAACTCAGATTGCTTCACAGTGAAATAAAACAGAATACCTGTTCTTCAGGGGTGAGCAACTGGATAGAAGGGTTAAGAGACTGTCACAAAATGTTAAAAATCACAGACCTGGAAAGTTAGTATTGGAAGAGATTTTTATCCTTTACCTATATCAACTTTATTTTTTTACAAAACACCTCTTTGGTCCCCATTTCTGTAAGGGTTTTGCTAGTGAAAAAGTTTAATTTGAACCATGGTCTCCTGTCTCGACAATCATAGAGAATACAACAAGGAAGTGATTTAAGGAAGGGGAAGTAGGTGGTGGCGTCTTGTTGCTGTGTCATTACAGTGTGACAGTTAACTGGAAAATATTTTTTAGGAAATTTAACCTGAAAGAATCTTGAATTTAAAATTTCTGTTTTGCTCTTGATAGCTTTTTCCATTTTCTTTTCTTTAAAGATTTACTTATTTATGCATACAAGAACTGGGGTACAGACTGAGATGTGAGAGGATTCACCAGAGAGAGAGTAGGGAGCAGAACAGGCAGTTTGACACAGTATACTGCTGAGGGCAGCAGGTGAGATAGGAGAGGTCTGCAGCTCCTTGGCTAGGAGTGGAACTTGTGCTGCAGTGGCTATGGGATATCTTCATAGTGTTTCACTTTAACCCTTTGTGCCACCAGGGAGGTCACTTTTTCCTTTTTCAGATAGGCTCAGTTGCCTTCTCACATGCTTTCCTTGTGTGTGATCACTGACAAATAATCCTGTTTGGGTCATTTTATAAAATTTGGTCTTGCCTCCATTAACCTTATTTTCATGGATTGACACCTCACATGTACACATGCACATATAAGACAGGACACTTGTAATAGCCGTTATTCAGGATTTTTTTTTCCATTTTTTTTTTAAAGATTTATTTATTCATACAGTGCAGGGGTGGTGAGAGGATTCACCAGAGACAGAGTGGGGAGCAGAACAGGCAGATCAATGAAATACACTACTGAGGGGAGCAGCGGGCAGGTCAGGAGAGGTCTGCTGCGCCATGTGGATCACCTCCGGGGCAGGCAGGGATCGAACTCATGCGGAAGTGGCTTTAGCTTCTTAGTGCTGTGCTTTAACCCACTGTGCCACCAGGGAGGGCCCAGACTTTAAAAAGTTTTTAAAAATTTATTTATACATATAAGAACTGAAGTACAGGCCAGAGGTGTGGGGAATGAGAGGATTCACCAGAGACAGAGTGGGGAGCAGAACAGGTGGGTTGACTGAAATAACCTGCTGAGGGGAGCATCAGGCGAGACAGGAGAGGTCTGTGGTCTACTGTACCATGTGGGTCACCTCTCTGGCCTGGGATCGAACTCATGCTGCAGTGGCTACAGATAGCTTCATAGTGCTGAGACTTAATCCTGTGTGCCACCAGCAAGTCCCAGTCTTTACAAACTTTCTAACAGTGAAGTTACAAATAAAGTCTACAAGAATTAAGAGAGAGAAAGAAAAAAAGATGAATTGATGAATTATCTTGCTTGCATGAAATATTTTGAAAGGCAAATTGGAAATGGGAGATTATATTCTAAAATTCCTCCTATAACCTTACGCCATTTTCTTTATCAGGTCTTTGGATTTTTGGCAAGTATTGTGTTCCTGGTTGACTTTTGCTATGTGTTTTATAAGAGTCGACAGACATCCCAGCAGAGAAAACCAGAGACCACACCTGTGGACACCCTCGAACCACTTAATGCCTGAAGACTCCAGGTGCAGGTTTTACCTAGTCCCCATGTGGTGCCTGTGCCCTGGCGGAAGTGCTTTCGGAGAGCAGTGGGGAGGGCAAGAAGGCAGTTTTATCAAGTTTGGACTTTGTATCATCAACATAAAATTAGACCAGAGGGCTTTGTGCTTTAAAATAGTGTTTTGTTTTTTTTTTAAGAGGAAAGGACAATTGTTTCTTTAAATCACAAAGCTCAACTGGCGATAAATTATTTTGTCATTTTTACTGTTTTCATTATTATGTTCTATAGCTGTAAAAACAGCATGACTACATTCATTTAGAAATTGTTTCATTTTAAAATTAATTTGCTTAGCTTTGAGTTTTTTGGTGATTTAGTATGTATTTAAGAGATCAATATTTAAAATTGCTCTTGTTTTTTTCCCTCTAATAGACCTAGACTTTATCTCACTCAGCCTTAAACATATACTGTAACATTTTAGGATAATTATCACTAACTTTTTTGAGACATTCTTAATATCTGTGGGAAAGGTTGGTATTATGTATATATATAAAAACAGCACCATCAGCAATCCCATGTTTATGCTGCATTTTGGTTATTGATATTAAGTAAAAAAAAAAAAAGACTCAGATTTTTATATGACACATAGAAAAATGGAAGAAAGTGCCATCACTCCTAAGGACCAAAGATAAAATAGACTTTTTGCACAATAAAGTGAAAATAATTACACAAGCAGGCTTCAACCACTTATCAAATGTCTGAGAGAGAAGTTCAAACTATGACTAAAAAGTGGTCATTTCCCTTACAAACCTATGATTATTTCTACTGAAATAATCTTTGCAACTAATATTCTTTTGAAAACCCCAGCTTTTGACTTCCTCCTATTTGAGGTGATGCTCTCTTTTCTGTCTCCTTGTCATAAAGGTCTGTACCTTCCTGCCTTGTCGGCAGAGGTGGACCTCTGGCTCGGACTCTTTCTTGTTGGCACTTGCCTTTAGGTGGCCAAGAATCTCAGGCCCTTTCATTCCCATAGAAGATAGCAGGATCTGTCAGGGTTTGCTTTTCCCTCCACGTAGATATTGCTCTAGTTTTCCACTGGAGGAGAACATATTAAATAAGTTGCTGGGAAATCTTGCCCAGGTTAATTCTGTGGCGTGAAGACATAATCAAATCACCCTCAAGAGATACTTCATAAACAGTTCTGATAATTTAGGAAATTTTTTTATTTTTGCTTGCATGCTCTCTTTGAGCCATCCAGACAGGACACTAGCAGGTGGCTCACAGACTAGACCTTTCTTTTCTTTCAGGATTTTTGACTCAAGACTATTATGTTAAGACAAACTCATGCTTCAGTACTTTGGTGGAGGTCTCCCAGGCAAGATTCTCTCTCTGAAACAATGAAGCCATGTTTCCAATGGGACAGTTAAATGATCTCCTTTTTAAATTTCTCTCTCTGTGTGTTTTAGATGGGCTTTAGCTGTATGAATGTGGCTAATTTGGTTCTCAAAGATTGGTCATTATGACCAGACTAGACCCATCTTCTGTATTACTGACGCAGGGCCTTATCCATTCTGCCAGAATTTGTATGCTAGTGCTAATGGTCGTGTCACCACTACCTGCTTAGGAGATAATGAAACCAATCATGCTGTTTTTACTGGGTGTGCCATTGAAGAGAGGAGAAATGGCCTGGGTCTTGTATCCATAATTGGTTTGTTCAAAGATAACCAGTTTATGGTAGGCAAGTCCTGGAGTTTCATATGCTACTGTACCATTGCCATTTTAGATATAACCTCTAGACTTTGCTGAGACTTATAACAAACCATCTGAGCTACCTCTGGCCCCTACTTCCCCCCTCCGTTGCTCCATTGCATTGGGCATAATTGAATTTGACAGCCACATCCTCAGTTGACTTCCACATATACATGTTGGCCTTTAACTTAATCTCTGCTTGTTGAGGTTTTGCTTCCATTGGTTTTCATTGGTGCAGAAGTGGACCTCATAACTGACCACAAAACCCTTTCCTTTGCAGAAAACTAATATGTTCACTGTTACTTTTGGTCAGGCCAGACCTTTCTAGATGTTTTTAGTCTTCTGCCATAGGAAGGACTTATGGCTAAGAAAAAAACAATTTGGTAAATAACTTATAGAACTTGGGACCAAAACCACTGCTTTGTGCAGAAAATGGCTAACTCAGTAAGCTCAAATTTACATTTTTTCATTAGCAACTAGGGCAAATTTGTTACATTTTATACAAATAAACTATTTAGAATGATTCTAAAATTTACACACTTATGTAAACATTTTGTAATTGCTATGCTTAAATGATGTCTACTTGGAGGCTGGGAAATGTATTTTTACACTGTTTCATAGCCAATCATTTTTGTATTTATCAATTTAAATATTGTGGGTCTTTTTTAAATCTCAGTGTCTGATTTTGTAGTCTTTTTAAATAAAATCCATTTTATTAAAATGTCCATATCTTCATATTGTTTATTACAGCAGCATGTTTATATGAATGCTTTTTCTGAGTTCTGGGAGTTGACTCTAACCTGGTAGAACCTTTTTAGAGTACTGGACTGTGACTATCAGGTGTGGGCATGAGAGAAAGAAATCTAGTTCCTACTCGTGGGCTGTCTTTTTCGCTGCAAAATCGGAATGCACAGTCAACCAAAAGTTTTAGTGTGTCTCACGTGAAGAGCTACAATGGTACCATTTAAATGCCTCTACTTCCAAAGAGGCATATTTGGACTCTCCCATCATATTTCTGGATGTGACATTGCTAAAAACAAAATAGCTACATTCCTTTTCAGATTGTTCAGTGATTGAAAAAGTGAAGTAAAACTAGGGTGGTTCTGTTAAAGTTACAACTATTTGTACAGTTTGCAGAATTCTTATCTCCAGCCTGATGGGAATAACAAGGTCTTTATATTGCTGGAATTTGTACATTCTTTAGAGTTTTGTTTCATGTTTTGGTGAAAGAACATTCCATCAATATACAATAAGCTGCAAGGAGCAAAAATCCCAATTAAGGGGATCTTAAAAAAGTAAGGAAAATTTATTTCACAAGAAATTTGCATAGGTCAGGTCTTTGACTGGTAAATCGGTGACTTGGCATCACCAGAAACTCAGTTTCTTCCCATGTTTTTCTGCCCACCCATCTTCTGCTGTAAATGGGGTGGCAAGATGGCGCAGCATCACCCACTTGCCTGTGTCCAAATGTCAGAAAGAAGATTGCTTATTCTTCTACGTCTCTAAGGTATTTTTTCACACAAACACTGTCATAGACTTTACATACTTAACTAGAAAACATTAAGTGCCCACTTCTAGATCAGTAGTGCCCACTTCTAAATCACTTATTGGCATGGAGAACAAAATTACTGTCACAGGCTTAATGTAATCAGGATGCCTTCCCTTAGGTTGTGAATACCCTTTGAAGCACAAAACTTTTTGGTTTCCTTAGCAAAGGAAAAGGCCTTTGACGGGGGTGTGGAGGGCTACAGTTATCTTGTTAAAGATTGTGCCTAAACCGGGAGAAATAAAAGTCCCAGGTCCACTAGTTACAACACATTGAGAACCCTCCCCTCTCCATCATTGTCCTCAACTGGCAGTAATGTGTCCACATGACCTTGGCTCAAACCACAACCATGGATAGAATATGGCATCTCACACTCAACCCACAGAACTTACCAGCCAGGCAGCAACAGAGGTATTTTGCTGAATTTCCGAGTGAAGCTGAGCCCCAGATCAGGACAGTGCCAGGAGAGGAGCATCAGCTGGCAGCTTGTCAGAAGTGCAAATTCCCAGGCCCTACTCAGGCCTCCCTAAGGAGAAATGCAGTAGGTAGAGCCCACCAACAAGGGTTAGTAAGCATCCTGGTAATCTTCGTCCCTGGTCCAATTTGAGATTCACTTTGGTAGACTAGGGTTCCAACCTCTGTCCACCTCTCCTCTTGTTTCCCCCTGGTCTCAGGACAAGTTGTTCTCAGTTCAGAGTATTTTGGTTGGAAATTTAGAACGCTGAGCAGAAAAGGCATGTTGAGATAAATCTGAGTTTCAACTCTGGCACTGAGGAGCTACACAAGTACCCTGGCATATGACTAGTGTACACTAAACATGATTAACCGTTTCCACCAATGCTCTTAATGCTTTCCTCAAAGGGCTGTCCTAAGACAGAATGAGCTAATGAAAAAACTCAGCGCAGAGCTTCTCACCCCTCCCCCTCCCAGCTTCAGTGTTAGGTCTTTTTTCCTTTTTGCTTTGGTGTGCTAACCTGGAAACTTAATTATCCACTTATTTCCTCATTTAGTCAAGTCCTTAAAAAGCATAGTTTATTTTCCCAATTGGGAAGTGTATCCCAAGCTCCAAAATGTAAACCGGGATATGCTGTTCCTTTGATGTTGCTGGGTACATATAATATTGGTAATGTAATCTAGAATATTCAAATTCAAGGAGCCAGGGATTTGGAAAGGCCATAAAATAAGCATTTCCCCTCAATATTGACACTATTCTTTGTAAATTAAAACTCCAAGAGGACATAGTTGGGGCTTATTTTGGGTGCTGACTTTAAGTTGAATCAAAGATTTCAGGCTTTAGGGCAAAGCTGACTAGAGGGCACAGAAGGAAGTAGACACTCCCAGTTAGGCCCTTGTATGGCCGGGAAGTCACCTCATTATCTGCACATAACTTCCCATTGGAGCCACGTCACATCAATGTAATGGTTCAGGACATGAACTTCAGGCGGTTGAAATAAAGCACACATATTTACTGCCCAACAGGAAAGGCACAAATTGTCAGAAGAACACTCAACCTTTGTTCAAGGTACAATGAATGTATCCAGTGAGCAGCTTCCTGCTAAAGAGCAGACCAAACAAATCTAAAACTACAGCCAGGCTCTAATAAGCTCAGGAGTATTGGGGGTTGCCTCCTCAGTGGGAGGGAACCCAGAGACCCTATCCCATACCTGATTGTTGTCCCTGCTTATCCCACTATAGTCTTTTGTCCCAGCCTGACAACTCCACTGAGGTGGTGAAGTCCATCCCAGGTTTTTGCATTTGCTGTTCTGAGCTCTCCATGCCGGCTGCTAGTCCCTGGCTGGGTTTGTAAATCTACCAGTCCCTCAACTTTCAGTTTAAAATGTTTGTTGGTGCAGGGTTTTTCTGGTTACCTTTTTTTTTTTTCTCTCTGACATTTAGTGACCTCATTACCCAGAATTTTTATTTTGTAGGAAATCCACCTCATCAAAAGATTTGCAGGGCAGAGACCTTTAATAGCTTTCTTCCTCACCCACCCCTGAGGGCCCGGGGGGTTGTTTCCAGACTTCTGTTCAGAGGCTGTACATTGTTTTTCTTTGTGCTTCTTCCACCAGTGGATGTCTCAGTGGCACTGCTCAGTTTTTCCCTGACCATTGTCTTCCATCCTTGAGCAAGGCTTTTAACATGGCTCCCGTGTACTTTAAGATTGTACGCACATATTCAGGCAACTTCTTTCTTTCTTTTAAAAGGTTTATTTATTTATGCATACAGAACTGATTGTAGGCCAGAGGTGTGGGGGGTGATTCACCAGAGACACATTGGGGAGCCGAACAGGCAGATCTACAAAGTACACTGCTGAGGGGAGCAGTAGGAGGGTCAGGAGAGGTCTGCCACACCATGTGGGTCAGCTCCCTGGCTGCGATAGATTCATAGTGCTGCGCTTTAACCCGTTGGGCCACCAGGACCCCCCCCCCACCTCGCCCCCATCTGCATCAGGAGGGAAACAGGGAAGGAGAGAGACAATAAAGGATGTGCTACTGAGTTGGCCACTGCTATATGATTGTTGGCTCCATCCTATGGGATCTTGGGGCAGCTGTATAAAACCTACCTTGGGACAGTGAGTCCCAAAGAGGAGGAAGAATAGAATGGGCCCTATGATTCCCGGGTCCCGTAGGCAGGTAGGACCCCTGCAGACCAGGAACTCCCCTGCACCTGCAGGTTGCCTTTTGTGGGAGCTGAATGAGTCCCATGACTGTGTCCCCAGGAAAGCTCCCAGAAAGACAGTTCATGTGTGAAGCACAGCCCTGTGGCTACAGGTCATACCTCTGCAAGGCTGGCACCTCAGTGGTGGGTGGATTAAGAAACTGGAGAGGCCAAGAAGATATGAAGTATTGTGTAAAAGTGGGGGTTTGGTGGGGTAGCTGTTAACAGCAATATAATGGTTAGTCACCAAAGATGACTCGCTATGTGCTATCCCTTTCATCCAAATATAAAGCACTACCATAATTACATGCACTTTTACAGCCTTATATATGGTTATCCACATATGGTAGCTATGGGAGTTTCAGGTTATCTTGGTAGAGTAGAATGGGGAGGATGGGTATTGAGCTGGTGAAGCACATAGTGAGAGTAATAAGAACTTTATTGCCATGAGTCATCCTCAGGCTGACTGCATTAAAAAAAAAAGGCAGGCAGGGAAGAGGAGGCCATGCCTTGGTCAATGACCAGTGTGAAAACACCATGGTCGAGGTTTAGATGAATCTGTGTACGTGGGATCCAAATAAAATGAACAAAGCCGTGCTTTAATCTGAACCGAGTTCAGGTGGTTTTGTGAGAGCTTCCCGCGCGCCGGGGCCGGCGGCAGTGCTCCAGGCTGGCCACTGGAGGGCGCGCGCTGCTAGGCGAGGGCAGGCCGCGCGCTGGGGCCGCCGCCAGCACCTTCTGGGTTTGTTTTCGCACAGCGAAGGCCGTGCCCAGCCGGGAGGAGGGGCGAGGCGCGGCTGCTGGCCGGGACCCCCGGTTCTCCCGGGGGAGGGCCTCCGCCCTGCGCGCTGCCCCGGGGTTTCGGAGGAAGCAGCTGCGGGCGCAGTGGAACTCGGCGCCCCGATGGCCGCCCCTTGACTTCCTGCCACGCGACGCCCCACCTTCCCTAGGCCCGGAAAGGGTCGCAAACGGAGGGCAGGGCACGCCACCTGCACGTTTTGTTAGGCTGGGGCGGGGTTGTCTTTATAAAGTTAATTTGGCAGATTGTTAGATTTTTAAAAACCTGGAAATGTTAAGCCGAAACATCCAGAGTTTCACTTCTCCCTGTCTTTTAGGATAGCTGATGAGCCCTCCCCATTTCTGCCAAGGGGTGTTTAAAATTCTTTTGCACAGTTGAATATAGTTCACCGTGGCCCTCCCACCCCATAGTTTACTCCGTCCACTGCAAGTTACAATACAACCGTAACAGTCATCAGTAGCCACAATCTGCCTACAAGCAGACGCATCCGGCGGTCTCCATCCACTAAGTCCCTCTGCCTCCAGCCTGGGCTGCTTGGGGCCTAGTGGCCTGCCGTAGCTTCCTTCCTCTCAAAAAGCAGAGAAATTCCGTCCTTTCAATCTGAATCATACAAGAAACCCCATTGTATAAAACAGGAAACATGATATTCAAATAAATAATCAATTTACATTGATAACATTTACTGGTTTTAAAGGTAGGGCTGAGCATGAAGCTCCTTGGAAAAACCTGTACTTAGAGCAGGGAGATTTTAGGAGCTGTAAACTCGTCTTTTGATTCTCCTGTTGCTTTTGTCTTAGTTGTGGCGATGGAGGACATGGACTCACCTGGGAAACAGTGGCAGGGTTCTTTTTTTCTTAACAGTTTTCACTCTGGGCATCTTCAACTAGAGGACACAGCTAGCTGGCATGGGAGGCTGGTGAGGGCTTCCCTATCAGTTTGGTGTTAAGAAACTGTATTCCCCAATGTCAACAGGCTTCCCAGCTTTGGGCCTAGTTAGCAACCTCATTGCAGGCCCAGCCTGAGAACTCGGCAGATCAATGTGTCTGGAATAGAAGCCTCTAGAAAACAGCTGCTGCACAAGGGCCTCCCTCAGAAACACACCTGTTGTTGCTCTGGGTCTGTCTGCAGCTACCAGGATTAACTGCCAGTGGAGGAAGGCAGGTGGCTCAGTTCTGCCTCCACCTTGCCGACCTGGATGGCCTGGGGTAGAGGGGTCACAGGCCATGCTCAGAACAGGCTCAACCTGGGCTCATACCCCAGCTATACTATTTATTATTTTTAAAAAGATTTATTCATACAGAAATGGGTTACAAGCCAGAGAGGATTCCCCAGAGACAAAGCGGGGAGCAGAACAGGCAGATCGACAAAGTACACAGCTGAGGGCAGCAGCGGGCGGGCCAGGAGAGGTCTGCCGCGCCATGTGGATCACCTCTTGGGCAGGCGGGGATCGAACTCATGCGGAAGCAGCCTAAGCTTCTTAGTGCTGTGCTTTAACCCACTGCGCCACCAGGGAGGGCCACCAGCTCTACTATTAACTTCACTTTCTTCTTGGGCCTTCCCGTGGCACTGCCAGTGTTCCAGGTAGGTGCTTGCTCAGGCCCACAAAGGGAGGAGAGCAGTTCAGTTGCCGCCTAACACTCTGCCTTAGAGGACCACACCAAAGCCAGGATCTGCTGGCCAGGGGACTGGCTACTTGTGGTAGGGGATGCAGGGAGATCAACTTGGGCATCTCCCAGTGTCCCTTGCAGCCTCTCCTGGAGGCCTCGGGTTACCACAGGGGGCCTCTTCCTTCGACTCCCTGTCCTCTCACTGGGACCAACATTTCCATGTCTCACATCTGATTGATCCTGCCTGCCTGTGACTGCTCAGTGGATCACTTCCCTGTGCTGGGGGCAGGGGTGGAGGGTTCAGACTGGGTTTCACATGGATCTGGGTTACCCCAGATCCCAGCTCCCAGCGGCCGTGTGGTTTTCAGAAGCTAGGCCCCAGCCTTGTATTTTCCAGGACTTGGGTTGCTCAGCTGTTAGGACATGACGATAACCTTGCTAGCTGGTGCCAGCTTCTGGTTGTGGGTCTGGGGCTTCATATTCCCTGGTTACCCAAACAATTTTGGCAATGGAGGTCCCTAAACAGAAGGTCCTGTTTGGTTTTTTCCTGTGGTAAATGAACATGCTAACCATTTGTACAGGGACAAGGTAGTGGCATTAATCATATTCACATGACCATGCAAATATCACCCCTATCCATCTCAAGCTTTTTCATCTCCCCAGTATTTAGTGCAGCCAGGAGACACTTGCTCTCAGCCCTGTCCCACTCCACGCTCCTACTCTAGGCACCTCGAGCTAGTGGCCAGAGTGCCTGGCTTATTCCACGTCACGTCATGTCTACAAGTTCATTGTGTTGGCACCGAGCCCTGCTTTGGGTCTCCTGTGAGCACTCGTCTTCCACCCACGTTTTACTTTGAAAATATGCCCATCTCAAAGTCAGCCTCTTCTGTCTTTACTCATCTCCAGTGGGACACATGAACTTAGGGGTGCCCTGGCAGCAGGGAGTGCCTCCCCCACAGGACTCCCGGGTCCCTTCCCTTTGTTCCTGGCTTCACTGAGCCTTCAGGTTTCATCACAGTCCTCAGCAATTAACCAAGTCAATATTTTATTTAAAAACACACACACAGTGACAACATGGCAGAGAGGGAGATTTGGGGACGGGTTGGTGACATGGTGCTTCTTCCTGGGCCTCATCTTTGAAAATAGGCAGCTTCCAGGCACAATTTCCAATTCAAGGAAACATGAGGAGGTGGTGACTCTCTCTCCTGAGGAATGTGACGTAGGCATGGATGAGGGAGAATTCAGAAAGCCCTCCCTGTTGAGTGGGTCATTGTCCCTGAGGCAGTTCTGCAATCAGGAGGAAGAGGCCAGATTTCCTGGATGCTGCATATCTTTCCGGAGGGAAGGAATGTCTCCCAAGGAGGACTGCGGAAAGGTTCAGGGGTCCCAGAGCGAGAGACACGCTCCCTTCTTGCCCATGAGGTTGGGACTTTGGCACCACTGAGCAGTAGCACTGGTTCAGAGGCCTTTCGGGGCCCTGGGAGCCTTCTGTCAGCTCAGGTGATGTGCAGAGTCTTCCGCGGGAGGGGCCTGAGGTGAGGTCAGGCAGTTGCGTCTTGGGAAGGAAAGGCAAAGTCAGGCCGGCCTGCAGGACAGGGCCCCCCCAGAAGCCACGTCTAAGAAGCTGCCCGAGTCCCACCCACTTGGTGTTCTTCCTTCTTCCCTGCAGCACTAATTCGTTTTGCAACTATTTCAGTATTTTTTAAATCTAAGAAGAGGACAAAATACTGCAGTGAAGACTCTTATCCCTCGTCCTCTTACCCCAGGCTCCCTCCGGTCTTTTAACTTCTTTAGTGGTTTCTTCCGCTGATTCCTCCGTCATTTTAAGTAATGCATTAATGCTAGTCTCTAAAGATTTACCACGTAGACATTACCTGTTAACCTTGTTTACATTTTTTACATTTTTTTCCCCACCACTTTTTGTTCCTGCCTTTCACCACCTTTTTTGAGCTATCAAATTCACCTATCATGCAATTTGCTGGGGTCTCATTTTAATAAGATTAAAACTGAGCCTGCGCCCGTTGTCCCGGAGGAAAGTTTGGGAGATTTGAACAGAGACAGGGAATCGGTTGCTATGGGAACCAGGCCAAAAGACTTTCACTTTGACCTGAATGCAGAAGCAGGGCCAGGACACATTCTGTGTCAAAGGCTAATGGCCAAGACCAAACTTCCCAGCCTCACCAGCCCAAACTGACACCCAGCCATGAAAAACCCACCAAAACAGGTTATAAGAGGGAGCCCCAAATCCTTGGAGCAGACCTCTCTGGTCTCACCCACTGCTTCTCTTAGCAGTGTATTTCAATAAATCCACCTTTTCTGTTCTCTACTCTGCCCTCTGATGAATTCTTATATCCCCATACCTCTGGCCTAACCCCCCAATTGTTTCTCATGACACAATTCACCCAATTAAAGCATGCTTTTAGGTCATGGTTTTCAATAGCGCAACCATCAAATGTGAGGACATTTTCATAAAGAAACCCCACCCCTCTTAACAGCCATCCCACTGCCCCCACCAAGCCCCAGGCCACCACTATTCCACTTTGCCTCTGCAGTGTCTATGGTGGGTATTTCACGTAAGTGGAGACCCACGATCCAGGTGCTATGTGACTGCTGCCTTTCACTTAGGTGGCAGTGGGGGAAAGCTGATGCTCTGAAGTGATGTTTCTGCAGGGCAACTCAGCCGACACTGTGTGCATGCTTTGATTTTTTAAAATATATTTTTAAAGAAAAAAACTAAAGAATGGAAGTGTCAGAGGAGAGAATGAAGTGGATTAATCCAAACAGCTGGTTCAAGCTTTCATCAGTTGTACTCCTAGGAGTTTCTTTAGTTGTATTGATTTTCCACGTTTAGATACCTGTAATCTTGGGAGTCCAACCTCATAGCTCTGTAGAGCTGCATGTCGCACCCACCCTTTACCTCCAGTGCCATAACCCTGTATCACCTTCACTGCCCACCCCCTCTGGCGACCAGATTATGCACACAGCACTAAGAAATATTCTTGTCTCACCAGTTCTCCTTGGTTATTTATAGTCTGCAAATGAGACCATCCAGTAACTGTCTTTCACTTCCTGACTTGATTCACTTAATATAATCACCTCAAGATCTATCTATTTTCTCCCAAAGGCACTTATTCCATCTTTTTAAATAGCTGAATAATACCTAGGAATTGACTCTGAAAATATGAGGGATGCGAACAGGGACACATTTACAAGGATGTATTTTACAGTGATTTAGCAGTGAAGAATTAAGGGTCACAGAATGGGGCGACCCCAACAGCACAGCTCCACTAGGAATGACGGAGAAGCCATGTGGGGAATTAATAGATGGTTGGGGGGAAGCCGGTTAAAAAATAACACATTAAGTCTGATCCTCTTAATGAAAGTAATGTGCGTATCTATAGAGATGTTACAGAAACATTCAGAGGAAATACTGGCAGACTGGTGCTGTTTCTGGGTAGTGTGATGATAGAGAGCTTTTATTAAGTTTCTTCCCTAAATGCTCTAGGTGTTACTTTTGTCATTAGGAAACTTAAAACACTTCACATTAGAGGCTGGAATATCAGGGTACCCCCTGGGCATGGAAGAGGCAGGAGGCTCTCGAGTCCGTCTTTCCTCTCCCTCTAACCCTCAGGGCCTCCTCTGCACAGGGCCAGTTGCCTGTTGAGTTCCAGAACAGGCTTCCCTTCTGCTCCTCTTCTTCCTGAGCAGAAGGATCTTTCAGAGGTCACCTTTCCAGACAACAGGGCTCACCTGTTGACTGGGTGACACATGAGATCTTGTAGGACAGCCATATGCTCACCAGGCACAGGAAGGTGGCCACAAACCCGAAGATCTGGCAGGAGAGAGGGGAGGTTTCCAGATCAGTGGTCAATCACTGAGGTCGTCTTCTCTGTTCCTCATCTCTGTGCTGCCCCAACTATGGCTGTGTGGGAGCTGGGGACTCTGACCCAACCATCTCATCCTCACCCAGGTGCACAGACCAGACCCCGTCCCCACGGCCCTGGCGTCTACCTCTTGGCTCTTCACACTGGGCTACCTCAGTGCCTGTGTTCAGGTTGTTGTCTGCCACTGACCTGGAGCCAGACCATTCTACTTTAACTACCCTGGGCAAATGGAGGAGAAAAAGGGGAACTATAAATGTTAGTTTGGGTTTTTAAAATGTTAATGTTCAAGTGGATTTTATTGGGGGTAGTCTTGTTTGCAATGCATTTATAGTAGCTTTGTGTTCGGCTGGCTGTAGAGCGTAAGAGGCTTTGTGATCGGCTTACACAGGCAGGACTTCCGTCAGTGCCACCAGAGACTGTGAGGCAGTGCACCTGTCCTTTCTGAGAGTCAACCCAGCGCCCAAGTGTGAGGAAAGCGGGTCCAACCTCCTCACTTGTGGACGAGGACAGGGTGCCCAGACAGAAAGAAGGCCCTGGGGCGGGAAGGGGGTGCATCAAATGTTTGAGCTGGAAGCAGCACACAATTAGGTGTTTTGGAACATCCAAGCTGTAGCTGGTTTCCTTACTCGTGAACACTGGCCGCTGCAGCAGTTAACATTAATGAGCACTTACTATGTACCTATAGCTGTGTTGATTCCTTAACACCCACCTCCGACAATACCCCCAGGTGGGTGCTTGTGTGAATCTCCCCTCATTTTACAGCTAAAGAAAGCGGCACAGAAGATCAGTTCTGCCCAGAGCCACACAGCCACTGAGGGCCAAGGTGGACAGGCTGAGTCCACACTTGGGCTCTGCTTTATGCCTCTGGCTTGTCAGACTCACAGAAGGCCTGGGCTCACGATGGGGCCACTGGTGCCCGGGTGAAGCCCCCTCATCCCCTGACTCACGTCCACGATGCCAGAAGATGGGCAGGTTTCTGAAGATTTTGTCACGTCTGGCCGCTGGTTTACACAGTGGCTGCCCCCACAATCTACACACCCACCCTCCCTCCAGGTCCCTTCTCCCTGGCTCCTTTTGTACGGATTTTCTGCACCACATAATTAGCCTATTAGAGCCAGCCCTGGCCGCTCATTGTCTGTTCTGCACAATTAGCGCATTATACACATTCCGGTCTCCAACTGTCTGTGCTACATAATTGAACAGTTTATTATACACTACATGATGCTATTCTGGACGACAGTGCCTTGTTTGCTAATTGTTTCATGGGCCTTCGGCTTGACTCCTGCGCTAGATTACCACTTTCTCATAAGCAAGGACCTTGTCTTCTTTGGGCTCCCTTCTGGCATAGGCTTGGCTCTAGGCACAAAGATGTGTAGGATAAATGGGACTTACTGGGGTTCCAGTGCTAACATGGTTATGTGCCACCTGAACAATAAAACCCAGCAGGGAGTTCCCCACGTGCTCCTCAAACACGGTGGCAGGAGTCCCCTGGTGCCTGTGGTGGGCAGGTGGTAGCTGCAGGGGACTGCCACCCCAGACACCCCGTCCTGGGAGCCCGATCACACAGGAGGCTGGACTGTGAGAAGCACTTCAGGGCGTGGCTGACCTCGGCCTGCTGCCCTTTGGAGGACGAACTCCATCCTCAGAGGAATTCTAGGTACTAACCCACCTTTGGCCCAGAGTCTGACCGATTTTGCAACTTGTGTAAGTGAGACACTCATGGTCACCTACAAAATTTTGCCTGAAAACTCATTTTCAAAAACTCTTGCCCAATCAGCAAGGTGATTGGTCTTGGGCCAAAGGGCTCCACACTGTACACCACTAGCTAAATCAGGAATCAGCATACAGGAATCTTTAACTATTTTAAAAATAGTACATACAGACACACATGTATGTACACGTGTGTGTCTGAAATACTTATTCCTACAGCACAGTTTTTACGTATGTCCATGCTCTTTCTACTCAGGTTATTGGATGGGATAAGTTGCACTTTTTAAAATTTTATTTCCAGGCCTGAACACGTTTAAACAAACAAACAAAAAATCAGAAATAGCCAGGCCAGGCCTCTTGGCAGATAGCACCAGCTGGTTACAAACCTTCCCCTTCCCTAAAAAGGCCTCGGAACTTTTCTCTGCGCACTGCTGAGGAGTCTTGACGAACAAATGATCAAATGGGCTGTGGGTGAAAACCTGCTGGCCCCGACGTAAGCAGCGGTTATAGGGCCTGGGACCACTTGAATTGCCACCAGCCACGTGACCCTCCCTCCCTCTGACCCTCGATGTAGGCCCACGACACAGGCGCGCTGGAGACCGCTGCTGGCCGGTCAAGGTGGTGTTGACTGAAAGAGGAACCCCAGAGAACAATCCCTTTGCTGCCAGAAAGTGAGCATTTGAAACATGAAAATTCATTCCTGAGAATGTCCTCACCGCTCCAGCCAGCAGTCCGCTCTGGCCATAACTCTTAGAGGAGGCCACGATGGAGGCGATTAGGAGGAGCAGGGTGCCGATTAAATAGTGCAGAAATTCCTGTGGGCAAAACAAAGCAGAGCAGTGGGTAAGGTGGTCCACTCCAGGGTCCTGGAGGCAAACAGGCATCGAAGTGCTGAAGAGGAGGGGGAGGGAGGGACCCCTTTCTTTACCCTGTGATACCCCATCAGAAGTGTGGTACAGCTCATAGCCAACGAATGCGGAAGGCCAGGCCTGTGAGTTCAGCAAGGGACAGAAGTCGCAGGGCAGGAGGAGAAGGATGAGGAGAAAGACGCCCCTGTGTGAGGAGAGGGACCTGCCAAAGAGCTGCCTCACTCCCGGGAGGGGTTTGTAGACAGGACCTTGAGCTCTAGCCAAAGCTACTGAAAAAGCCAACCAGTTTCTCGTAACTCCCAGGCTGGAGAGTTTAGATGAATCTCCCGCTCTGACAGGCAAACACTCTTGTGGCTTCTGCTTCAGGGAAAGTTCTGGTGAACAATGTGGTGGCTCACAGAAGCAGTGTGGAGTGTCCACTCCTGGGAGCATTCCAAGGGGAAACAGGGTCAGAGCCTCGGCTGAGGTCTATCCCATCCTTGAAGTGCCATGTGTGTGGTGGGTGCTGGTTTTCTCACCCCAATGAGGGCTTAGCTTCATTTTGTCTTCCCACTTTGCTTCCCTCTGGAAGGATGCTGTCAGGCCCACCTCTGTGGAGGAGTCTTGAGACAGGACTGACTCAGTTTGCTTCTCTCTGGGCACACGAGGCCAGCCATTTCTGCCCCATTCACTCTCTGCCATGAAAGCATCTTGGCGGGCCCGGGGGTGAGGCTGGCCTGTCACTCAAGGGCACGGCCTTGCTTCCACCTCATCTTCTTCCCACTAAATACAAGATCAGAGGAGGAAGGAGGTTTTTAGGTTACCGAGGATACTCGGAATCCAGCGTGGATTATTTTTAGCAGTCTTCAAGAGAACTTAGAAATCATGCCTTCTTGAAGTTCTGCCCACTAGGGCAGACAGCTGTTCCAGTTTAGAAAAGCATTCCACTTTCAGGCTGCAGCGCCTCTCAAGCCTGTGCAAAATCAAAGAGGCTAATTGCTCCCTTAGTGACTAGAAAGAATATCACAAGGCAGATCACAGCGATCTGACAGAAGAGAGATCAGTAGCTGGAAGTTCTCCACTTCTAAGGTTCTCGCCCAGTGAGAAAGAACAGGGAGGACCAGCCAGAGGGCGCAGTCAGAACCGGCGGCTGGCCCGACCCTCCTTGCCTCCCAGTTTCTAGTTTCTCCTTTGTTCCCTATCAGGACTAGAGCTGCAGGACCTTGTCCTTGAAAGAAAAATGCCACGACTTTGAAAGAGGCCTTAGACGTTAGGCATGCAAAAGAAATTTTTCTCAAAACAACAATGTGTAATAATGTTGAACGTGGAGTGACTGACCAATGAGCAGAAGGTGTCAGACCCACCTCCATACTGTCCACAGACAAAGACATAAAAACTGTCTTGCGTCCTTTATAATGTTTCAGTCAACCAGACTGTGTGCTATGGGGATGTTGGTCCCGACGGGTTCTAGCACATCCTCCATGTGGGTAGTGGGTTAAGTCATCTAGGTTTGTATATTACATCTGAAGACCATCACACCATAAAAATCACCGAATGGTGCATTTATCAGAACATATCCCTGTTGTTCAGTGACACATGAATGTAGATTAAAAATAGAAGGACGGAAAGCATATTATACACAGTAACCAAGAGAAAGCTGGTCTCTCCAACATAATAGATTTTAAAACAGTGTTACCCCAAAAACAGATAAGTGGATCTAGAAGATGTATACACACACACACACACACACACACACACACACACAATACAATGGAATACTACTCAGTGATCAAAAAAGATAAACATAGACAACATGAGTATAGCAGGAAGGGATTATGCTCAGTGAGATAAGCCAGAAGGAAATAAGCCTTATAGGTGGAATACAGAGAAACGGAACTAGGGATCAGACAAGGACATTTAAAAGCCAGTCCTGGAAAGCAGACCGTAGACTTGAGGTGTCCAGACGGAAGAGCAAAATGGGTGGAGGATGATGGGGCAGGGTCAGGCCACTACCTTACCGATAGGGGCCAGCTGACACAGGTGAACACACGGTAGAGGCGGAAGAGGTGGGCCAGGTAAAAGGCGAGGATCATTATCAAGTTGCAAATGGTCACCACTTCAAAGTAGGTGTAGGCGCTATAGCTGGTCCACTGAAGCAGAGAGCTCCTCACACAGATGAAGGCGATCAGCAGAGTGACCTGGGACATAAAGATGCATTAGATGGCACCCGGGGAAGGCACAGAAAACTGTGCACCTGCTGCAATTCAGGTTCCTGCCCCCCTAACTGGCTAGAAGGACGGAAGGGCACTGGCCTTCAGGAGTGTTTAAAGTACACCCGGCTGTGCACTCCGAGCGGCGAGAGCTTGTCTTGGAAGTCTGACGTGTTGTGCCGCCTCAAGAGGGGGGCAGGGCTGGCAGGAAATAACCACCCCACTTATTTGCTCAGCCTCCTCAGAGCAGAGAGTGCAATCTGATGCTGGACCCACGATTTACATACGAGGCGCAACCGGGGGAGGTCGCCAATATCTGCCTGTTTTTGACTCAAGATGGTGAATCCTGTTACAGCCCACCAGTTGGCAGAAGCAGTTTGCCTTCCAAAAATGTCAGCCCTCAACACAAACACCCTGAAGGTGCTGTGTCCACTCTGTGGGCAGTCCTGGTAGAAGGTGCCTGCTCCCCACTGGGCCTCGGTGAGAACTCCATGGAATGTTGTAGAACCAATGAACGAATGAGCAGCACTGATGAATTAATGACCTACTACCGAAGAAACCAGACTATGCATAGAATACAGTAGAAGAGAAGATTCTGTGCTTTTTGTGATGGCCAAAGTCAATCAAGTTTTGTTCATACCACATAGAAAATAAGTGAGTGACAGCCAGGTATTAAATGCATATAAAATCTTAGGATCTGTGTAAAAGCAGAGTGAATTTAGGACAAAGATTTTATTAAGGCCTCTTTCCGATAGAGCAGTGATTCCCAAAGGTGTGTGTGCATGTGATTTGTGTCTTATGGGCCATTTTGCAGTGTCTGGATACTACCAGGGGGAGGACTACTGGCATTTAGTGGGCAGGGGCCAGGGGTGCTGCTAAATACCCACAACACACAGGTCAGCCCCTGTAACAAAGTGCTATCTGGTCTCGAATGTGGCCTCTGCAGGTTCTGCAGACAGTGCCTTGACAATGAAGCTACATGGTTGCTCTAACCCTGTTTACAGTGGGCAGCGCCCAAGCTATTCCTCTTTCTAAATCCCACCATCTCTAACACGCTCTCCAGTAACAGGTACCGCTTGAAGCTAAAAGCAGGCATGACTGTTCTATTGAACAGATCAAAGCAGAGGGCCCAAGCACCAACACAAAGCCACCTTCAATATTTGCATATTTCCCTTTGCTAATGAGCAACATGAATATTTTCATTTTTTCGGTTCCTCAAGGCAGCCGGACGTGGTGATATAATGACTCACCCCGAGGTGGTTTTTTAAAGCTCTGCGGGGGCCTTGCTTCACTTAGGGGTGTGCATGATCTCTGGGGCTTTGCTGCCTCATCAGTTCCCATCCCCAGACCTCATCTGTCAGGGAAGTCTGTGGGTGTGGGTCTTCCTTAGCCTACTCAGACCCTCTTTGTGTGCTGGGGTATTTTTACTGAAGGCATAACTTAAGCTGCAAATAAGTCAGGGTTATGCAATATGATTTTGCACCTCATTTAATGCAGAAGTTAGAATAATTTTTACAGGTCTCCATCTGTGACAGTCAGGAGGTTCTCATGGTGGCAGACGTGGGAGTTTCCCCAATGAACCAAAGGACCGGATGGGTCTCCCCTGTGAGCTCCCAGGGCCGAGTCCTGGCTAGCAGGAAGTACTTCACTGTTCCACTACACATGGTGGAAACCTTCCTGGGAAACCTGCTCCAGAAGTGAATTTCCCGAATCTGTCCCTTGGCCTACTGTGCACTCTTTAGGAAATGCCAAATTTGGAAAATAAATGTAGACAGGAGTGAATATGTATTTACACATTTACTAAAAGCTTCCGTTTTGCACAAGGTTTCACTTGTTCCTACTCTAGGTAGTCAGCATTTTATCTAGTGCACTAAAGATTTAACACCCACATTTGAGGAACTCAAATGAAGTCCAGGTTACACCTGGAGCTGTTTGAGACCGCCTCCCTGCCCCCAGCATAATTTAGAGCAAGATTCAAGGGGCAGCCAGAGAGGTGAAGCAGAGGGCAAGCAGAACAAGACACAGGTGGGGGAGGCCCTTGCCGTGGACCGTCCTCCCACTTGGCCCTCACAGGCCCCCTACTTCCCTCCGGTTGGAAAACTACATCAACAGATATTGAATCCAGATGACCGAAGTAGGGGTTCCGATTTCAGGACTGCGTGAAGGCCGGGAAACTTCTGAATATAGGTGTGGTTCTGTTTAGAGTCACTGAAATGAGACACTGTCCAAATGGCTAGCTGGTTTCTTGGGTGCCATCTAGTGATTTTGAAAGGTCTGTTCTTTGACAGACTGCTGTGAATGTTGAAAACACATCCCACTTATGTCCAGGATTTCAAAGTAACATTGCAAGAAACTTCAACTGGAAGGGAGGCTCTCACAGAGCAGCTGGGGTGCTGTTTAATCACTAGAATCCCTCAAAATAGAAGCTACTCCACTCCCAAACTGGTCTTTGACTCAATTCTGTATGGATTTACATTAGAAAGGTGAGATTTGGCCCTCCCTGGTGGTGCAGCTGGTTAAAGCGCAGCACTAAGAAGCTAAGGCCACTTCCGCATGAGTTCCATCCCTGCCTGCCAGAAAGGTGACCACATGGCGTGGCAGACCTCTCCTGACCCGCCCACTGCTCCCCTCAGCAGTGTGCTTCGTGGATCTGTTTTGCTCCCCACTGTCTCTAGTGAAGACTCTCGCCGCCCCTGAGCCTCTGGCCTGTACCCCAGTACTGTATGCACAAATCTTAAAAAAAAATCTTTGTGCAAGTGCAGTCAGTAGTGGGATGGGGTGCCGGGGTTGTGGTGGTGGTGAGTAAACTGGATCCCCTAAGGAACAAAATTGTCTGAGAACTTGGGGACTAGAACTGTCTGGTCCCAGCACCCCAGTCAGTTGCCATAGGACTCTCTTGGGGGCGCATCCCTAGAGGAGGAAGAAATGGAATTTAAGATGGAGCAGGACTTGGGAGAGGGCTTCTGAGCTGGGTAGCAGGACGTCTGGGGTATCTGGCTGGCAGCCACTGCCTGCAGCCTGTGCTCAGAAACATTCCCTCAGCAGGCCTGGCTCCTCGCTCTCGCTTCCCTGTCTGTGTCTGGCTGAAGATGGCATCCTCTCTTTGGGTCACCAAAGCACCAGGTTGGACACCTCAAGTCATCCAACCCCCACCCTCTTTCAGGTGTTTTTTTTGACCTTGAGGGCCTGTTTGAGAGAAACAGGCAGGAGGAGGGGAAATAACTGATGAAAGTCAACATCAGACGGTCCCAGACCCAACATTAAGAGGCTTTTCTGGAAAAGTCCATATAAAAGTCATCTTGTTTCAGTAAATGGGGAAAGACTGGAAAACTATCTGTGGAGGCAGGACGGCCTCTGGCAGTGAGGAGGCAGGAAGAGGAATTTCCTTCCCTTTTCATACCCCCCCTTTTTTCCTTGATGCCCCAGGTCAGTCAGCACAGAATTTAAACCCCTGGCTTGCTCCCACTTGAGGATTTACAGCTTCGTAAGTTCCCCATTGTCTGTCTTGTCTGTCGAGTGGGGTGCTTTTCTCCTACAGATTTGTCTAATGTAATTCATCTGTCTCTGATATCAGAGACTGCCGGTCCCTAGCAGCCCGACCATCGGGGCTCCAGCACTTGGTTCCAAAGCACTGCTGGAAGCAGTGTGAGCGTTCTAGCGTTTTCTGCCCACCACCAGTGGCCCCACTGGGGTCCAGGCTGCAGGCGTCAGGAGAGATGGTGGATGGTAGCAGTTCCGTCCACACCAGCCCCAAGGCACTGCACCCAGTTTCAAGGCTTGGGGGGGACCCCTGGGCCAGCTCCTGCCCTATGGCTCCTTCAGCTACAAGCAGGGGAGAGGCCCAGGGACTTGGGGCCTGCATCGTGCAACGGACCGGTCAAAATACAACTATGAGCTGATTGAAAAGGGCTCAATCAGACTTGGGGGGCGGCCTTTTGGTGGCCAGTAGAGATGGTCATCACCAGTCACCCGGAGGCAGTGACGTGAGAAACACCAGTGTTGCAGCTCTTTGAGACACCAGGCCTGCGGCCTTTGGCGCTCTGTTCAAGTGGCGTCAGAGGTAGGCTGCACCAAAGGCAGGCACGGGCTGTCTGGTCCCTAAGAAACTTCTTGGCTTACATCTGTGAAACTTTCAGTGCCTCTTTTCTTTTGAAACTAAGAACACAGAGTAAGTTTGAGAGCCTCAAAGTCTGATAGATGAGTCTGAAGCGGCCTGCGGTGGTGACTTCCCCCCTCCCCACCCACCGACAGGCCTGATTGGGCCCTTTTCAACCCTGTGGCTGATTGGCCCATTTACCAATCAGCTCATAGCTCCCACCTGATCCATCTGTTCCACTATCCAGGCCCCAAGCCCACGGGCCTCTCTACTGGCTGCAGCTGGAGGAGCCAGAGGGCTGGAGGTGGCCCAGCACCCCCCTTCCCAACCCCCCACTCCTCCCTGAGCTAGGGCTATATGCTCTATCCACCATCACTGCTGGCCTCTGCCTGCACCCCAAGTCCCAGTGGGGCCACTGGTGGTGACAGTAAAATGCCCAGCACCCACTACCGCTTGTCCACAGCAGAGCTCTGGGAAACAGTGGGGGGCGGGAGGGGGGGAGCGGAGCAGGAGTTTCCCCTGGGTCCCAACAGGGAGCATTTATCACATCCCCTGGGTCCCAACAGGGAGCATTTATCACATCCTCAGTACTTTTTAAATATAACCAATCCTGCAAAGAGTCTTCTTGGAAAGGCATATTCACATTTACAGTTTCGATGTTTGCTACTAAAATGCCACTCCATAAAGATGTTCCCCTGCATAGGGGTCTTGCCAACACAGACTATTAACATTATTTTTAAAGAATGGAAATCAGATCTTGTTTTGACCTTCATTTCCTTGATTACTAGTGATTTGATTCTTTTTTCATGTGTTTACTGCCTGTTCCTACTCTTGGCCTATTTTTCTATTGCTTGTATATTTCTTGTGGATTTGAATAATAACTCTTTATACT